GGGCACTATGAGTCATAAATGCGTACACTGTAACGCCTTTAAGTTTAAAAAAGAAGCACCTGGTATGTGATGTAGCACCGGTAAAGTGCAGCTTTCAGCTTTTTTGCCTCTACCTGAGCCGCTCAATAGTTTGCTCATGGGCCTGCATCTTGAGCACATTCATTTTATAGACCGTATTAGGAAATATAATGCTTGCTTCCAAATGACTTCTTTTGGAGCGAAACAAGTTATAGAGATAGATTTATGCCTACTTTCAAAATGCAGGGTCAGGTGTATCACTTAATTGGTAGTCTGCAATTTTTACCTCAAGAAAACCCTGAATTCTTACAGATTTATTTTGTTGGAGAGGATGAGAGAGAGGAAAGTTTAAAATGCAGCATCTTCTCTGATGTGAAAAAGAATCTGATAAAACAATTACAGGCCATCGCCTGTAATTGTTTTATCAGGCTCTACTTGTTGCAGCACTATAACCCATACATAAAAGATTTAAAAACTACTCTTCAAAAAGTACCTCACAATTGTAAAAACTTAGAAGTTGTAATTCACGCTGATAGGAAACCAACCAATGCTCATAGAGGACGTTTTAATGCACCGACGGCAAGCGAAGTAGCTCTGATCATAGTTGGACAGCAGTTTGAAAAACGAGATGTTGTATTACGAAGTCATGACAACAAATTACAAGGTATTAGTGAAGTTCACCGTTCGTACGATGCATTGCAATACCCGATACTTTTCTGTCGTGATCAGGATGGTTACTCCATTCACATCTCCCACATTGATCCCAAAACAAAATTACCTCTTCGATAAACCGTTTCTGCAATGAAGTTTTATTCTTACCGCATCATGATCAGACAAACGGAAATCAACCATTTATTATCAATATATTGTCGATCTCTCTTTAGTCAATACTTCGTTGATATTTACGCAAAAATTGAGACAGAGCGATTAAATTTTATCAGAAACAACCAGGCGCAACTCCGAGTCGATAGTTACATACATCTCAGAGATGCTATAGGAAGACAAGATACCGATGTCGCTCAGCTTGTTCAGATGGTAGTGCTTCAGTCATCTTTCACCGGTTCACCACGATATATGCATAAAAAGACTCAGGACGCCATGATATATGTTTGTTATTACGGTTGTCCTGATTCACTCATTACATTTACATGTAATCCTCGATGGAATGATATTAAAAATGCATTACTATATGGACCAAAGCCTCATGATATCATAGCTAGGGTATTTCATTTAAAGGTTAAGGCGTTAATGACATTGCTAACAAAGGGGAATTTGTTTGGAGATGTACGTTTTTTTATATATTCTGTCGAATAACAAAAGCATGGTTTGCCTCATATACTGTACACATTTTGTTGTTATTTCGTTGTGAATATGTCTCTTTAATCCGATCAATTCAAATCGGTAGACTATCAGTACAGCTTTCAGGCTAGATACTTCTTTTATTGTTTTGACATATGCATTTCGGACTTATATTAATTTTAAGTCCCCCTTCAGTCCAAAACTACAAATTATTTAAAAAATTATATACAACTAGTGAAGTGACAAATTCTTCGCGTGTAGATTATATTTACTGACATAAAACTATTGTATTAAAAATTGTTACACTTATACGTTACCTAAGTTTCTGTTTTTTAAAAACCACGGTGTATAACGGGTAACGCTGGAAAGAGTTTAAAATACAGCCATTTATTTTTAAAAACTTGCTACAATTATTATAAATCTCATTAATATAAGGAAAACTATTATAACTCTTATTTTTTTTATATATTTGGTATTAAATCTGTTGTTATAATATTGGTTGTGCCACATTTTTAATTTGTAACTGGGGTAATTATTTAAAATAAACGTCTTTTCTAATTCTTTTAATTCTATTTTACGGTTAATATTATTAGTCGTTCTTGTATATATGTTTTTTAGACCCATTATATAGGTGTTCTTTTTTATAGTTTCAGGGATGCAGGATTGATAATTGATGGTTTTATTGACGTTACATGTTTTTTTTTGAAAGTTTTAAAAGAAAATTTATTTATTTCATTGGTAATTGTTATATTGGTAATGGTAGATAGTGTTATTTGTGCAGAGATATCAGACCTTGCGAAAGATCCTCTCCTTCATGAAATTATAAAAGGCATTATGATACACGGGCCTTGCAGTAATTTAAATAACAGATCAGTTTGTATAAAAGAAGTTAGCTGCACTAAGAAGTTTCCTCGATCTCTCCTTCAAGAAACTCAAACAGGAGAAGACGGATACACAAAGTATCGACGAAGAGCTCCAGGAGATGGTGTTTTACTGTTGAAATCAATGGTGTAACCCTTCATAACCTTTGGGTAGTGCCATATAACCCTGTGATTTCACGTACTTTCGGTGCTCATATTAACGTGGAGTACTGTAACTCTGTAAAATCTATAAAATACATATGTAAATATGTCAATAAAGGGAGAGATCAGGCAACATTTGGTCTTTAAAATGAAAAAGATGTAGTCGAACTCTATGAAAGTGGGCAATACATCAGCAGCTCCAAGACTGTATGGAGAATTCTGGCTTTACCGATCGATGAGAGGTTCCCTCCAGTTTTTCAACTCACTGTGCATTTGGAAAATGGCCAGCGAGTCTATTTTAACCCAAATGACGCCAATCAGTTAACAAATATTGTTAACAATTCAGTAAAAACTACGCTTACAGCATTTTTTGACTTATGCAAAACAGATAATTTTGAAAAACATTTCTTTATGCTGAATTTCCCTCTTTCTATGTATGGAAAAATAACAGATTTGAGAGAAGAAAACGTGATAATGACGTCGATAACTGGCCGGGAGTAAAAAAAGATCAGATTTTAGGCAGGGTATATACCATCCACCCTAATAATACTGAGTGTTATTATCTTCGCCTTTTACTACATGAAATCCGGTAGACGTGGCAACATTGACTGTAGGTTACACTGCCTTCTGTGCCTGAAAGAGATTTATAAATATCACTCAACTGATTAATTCATAATTTTAAAACACACTTCTGTTTTAAGTTCTTGTCTTTGTACGAAGCTTTGGTTGTTGTACTTTCACATTTGGAAAACACAGGTAGACAACATTCAATATTAGGAAAGGCTTCTTTTTCTCCTGTGAATTGTTTTTTCTGGCATGCAAATATCTAACCGATGCATTTATTGTGGCTATGTTTACCATTCAACAAAATGAATTCATGAATTAAAAAATTGAAGGATTTCCCTCACGTTTTCTACAAGCTTTGAAATCATTAAAAATATCATATTTCATTTGTTTTATTGTTCTCACTAATCTAAATTATACTGCTTCATTTTCTGCCAATAGCTAATATCACCATGTAGGCTACATAATCCTACAGGAATCCATAAATTTATGATATTATTAATGCTTTTTTTCCTTTAATCAGGTGTCAATCATGTTTTGTAAATGCACACGTTGAGTGTCAAACTTTCTTGAGCGTTCTCCTGCACTAGCATCATTACAGAAACATATTTCAATTTCATTTCTAACGCAGCATAAACTACCCATTGGCTGAAATTATTATATTTGTTGAATCCTTATAGGCGTTCAGATTTAAAGCATTTAATTTGAAACCATGTGTAAACCAGGAAGAGTTTTGACCAGGAAGAATTTTTTCTCAATTAATTCTCCTGAAATGAGAGAGATTAATGTGGAAGTAAATCCTAAATTTATATTAAGTTTTGTAGTCACTTCATACTTACCATTTTACACTTTTGTGTATACAGTGTCTACTTGGGCCTTGTTTATTAATAGCACTTATTACACTGGTGATGTTTCTGATTAGCAAAGTAAAGAAATCTTAGTCAGAGATTAAAATCAAAAATCATTAGGGAGAATGCGGCCTTTTCTCGCAATGAAAACGTCGGCCGCAACCTCTCATTTATTTACACTTTAATTCACATGTTTACAAACGTATGAAACAATCATTATTTCTGCTAATACACTATTATTCAATAATAATTGATGTAGCAAATAAAGTTTTTGTTATACAAATATGTATATTTTTGGATAACCTTCTTTCATTCTAAAATATTTTTTAAAATCAATTATTTATTTAGCCTTCTTTTATTCAGTTTCTAAAACAAATTAAAAAACTCACAGTTATAGTTTTTGTGATGTCATGACATATCACTGCAGCACTACTTTACAGCATTTTCTTTTAAAGAAAACGTGCTTGCCAATGGTCTATTTTTATTTACTATTGCAATTTTTCTACTCTTTCCCCCGTGTACGTTAATTTTTGATGTAAGGAAGGATTCGTGAAAATGGATAACTTCCATAAATGAAGATTTCAGAATAAAAAATTTACCTTAAGAAATAAAGATTACTATAACTGTGAACGTTAGTATCTGCTAATAATATCATATTAATATAGCAGGTTTTGTATGCACTGTATATTTACATTATATTACTTAAGAAATGTTTGAAATATTTTTTTGAATGTAGTAGTTAGAAGGGTGATGTGATATATCAGGGGTGGGCGAGCAAGAGTTCAGTGGGAGCCGAAATGTAGGTTTTGCAAAATGCATGGGAGCCACAGAGCTGTACTTTTTTATTCTGTACTGCAGTTCTGTATTGCGATTTTATTATATAATATAAATATTATATAAAAACAGACATTGAATTTTTTTAATAAACAAATTTTTACAAAATTGTGGAAATAAAATTGTAAAAATAATAATAAAAAGCAGAAATTAACACTTTCAGGAAGAGCCGCATGTAACTAAAAAATGCTGCATGTGTCTCTCGGAGCCTCATTTGTCCATGGTGGTAATATATGCAATATTTTTTTATTGTGTGTTTTTGGTAATTTGCACTTCTTGCTTGAATATTGACAGTAATTGTTGATATGTATTTATAAATATTAATTATTGTCTTTCATGAGATTGTAATGATAATAAGTGTCAGTAGAAAAAATAACTGCATTGAACAATAAAAAATAATTTATTTATTTTTCAGTTGGCTTTTTCCAATAATAATTAAAGGAAGAAAGAGACTTTTGAAAGAAGAAGATTTATACGAAACTTCCAAACATCATAGTTCAGAGTACCTTGGAAATATGCTTCAGAAGTAAGCTTACAAATTTCTTGTGTTCATTCTGATTAAATTGAATACTTTTCTAAGCTAACGAAAAGATATAATAGGTAAATCACGGAAAAATTAGAATGTTTGTTTCATGTAAACTAACTACTATATTTTAGATTTTTATTCGAAACTTCCAAATATCATAGTTCCGAGGACCTTGGAAATATGCTTCAGAAGTAAGCTTACAAATTTCTTGTGTTCATTATCATTAAATTGAATACTTTTATAAGCTAAAGGAAAGATGTAAAAGGTAAATCAAGGAAAAATTAGCATGTTTGTTTCATGTAAACTAACTACTATATTTTAGATTTTTATTCGAAGCATTAATACTGTGTATTCGTATATTAAATTATAATTTTTTAAATTATAATTTATAAAACAGGTTTTACTGTGTTGATACAATGACGGTGTTTTTTGCAAGTTTCTTATGAGTTTGGCTAAGCAAAATATGGTGCAACCAGTGCTGTGAGATTAAACGTGATATATTCAGATTGCGTCTTGAAAAATTTTTCGAATTTTTTAAATAGTTGTGTGATGAGCTACCATCTTAATCACACAACTATTCAGCTGTTTTTAATGTTTCACGAATAATGTTCGAAATTACGAAATACTTAAGATATTATATGTCGGTACGTTATATATGTTTTTGGTTTTTGAAATAAAATAAGTAAAATAAGGTCTTCTGAAATTTTATACATAATTATACTTCTAATTTATTGTTCTTTGCATACATCTGTGAAATGCCACACTTGCCTATGATTTTGAAAAATTTAGTAAAACTCCTTTCCAATATGTTGAAAATCTCATAGTTTTGAAATTCAATACTTCTGTAAGTTNGCTATAATGTAATTATCTTAATTTTTACTATCGTTACTTTTTGCCCAGCGAAGCGGGTCTTTGCAGCTAGATTCTAGATTACTTAGAAAAACAGTATTATATATATATATATATATATAAACTATATTACATACAAATAAAAACCCAGCGAAGCGGGTCCTTGCAGCTAGTAATTTATAAAACCGGTTTTACTGTTTTGATACAATGAGGGTGTTTTTGCAAGTTTCTTAAGAGTTTGGCTAAGCGAAAAATGGTGCAACCAGTGCTGTGGGATTTAACGTGATATATTGAAATAGTGTCCTGAGAAATTTTTTCGAATTTTCTAAATAGTTGTGTGATAGGCTATCACCTTAATCACACAACTATTCAGCTGTTATCAAAATTCTACGAATAATGTTCGAAATTACGAAATACTTAAGATAATATGTGACGGTTTTATTTTTTGAAATAAAATAAGTATAATTAGGTCTTCTGGAATTTTATACATAATTTTTATTCTAATCTATTGTTCTTTGCATGACATTTGTGAAATGCCACACTTGCCTATGATTTTGAAAAATTTAGTAAAACTTTTTCCGATATGTTGAAAATCCCATACTTAAATTCAATACTTCTGTAAGTTCCTGACTGACAGATAATGCCTTACATACATTTTCCATATAGTGCCGATTATTTAATTGAAAAATCGCTAGCATTTTACAGGCACCACCTGATAAACCAGTATATGTAAAATATGCAAGTATTACAATGACTTAATGCGTTTCACGTAATTAAAATGATTCAAGATATGTATATGATTGTACAAAAACTGTATCATTAGAATTACCTTAAATCTCATATTGCTTGCTTTTTATAACGTTTACAGTTTACACCAATTTCAATTTCACTGTAATGTGCCAAAGCATTTAAGTGTTACCATGCGACTTTTTGCACTTCTGTGCTGTTGGTTTTATCTTCCATAATCATACCATGATGAAAACTTCGGACTTCCACTTGTGCATCAATTAAGTTTTTTGTTTATTATTTTGCAACATAATTCAATTATCGTGACCCATGCCTATTTTTTGTAATATTGTGATATTCTTTATTATCAAGATGTCAATCTGTTTGTTACCGAATTGCAGTGGTGTCAGAGTATTAAAAATGTAGGAATGATAAACAATTTAATATATTAAAAGAAAGAAGTAAAAAAGTTGCGCACTATTTATTGATTGCACACAATGCTGTACAATTTGTAATAGAAAGTGTTATTGCGTACTTGTGATTTTTTGACTTGCACTATTTAATCTATTTGAAGATTATATTATATAAAATATATATGACTATACTCTAATAAGATTACATTTATCTTGTAACATGTAGCAATGTGCACAGCCACATTCTTCAGATCTGTTTCAGTTGTTCCTTTGGGTCTTTAGCCAACTACATGTTTAACCACATTTGCATTTAATGATTATTAATGGCATGATTATTAATGGCCAGACATAATGTCTGTGAATTAATAAACTTTTAATATTAACAGGTGCCGGATTAATAAACTGTTACTTTATTTTAAAAAATGGAATTATTATATTAAATGCGCTATAAATAACTTAAGAATTTACAAAAATTAAAATATTCAATAGAAATATTATTTTTATTTACTACGTTTTATTGCAATTTGTTTTTAGAGAGTGGGAGAAAGAACTACAGAAAAGAAATCCAAACGTACTGAAAGCTGTATTACGATTTGTTGGATGGAAATATATAGCATTAATTTTACTTACATTGATCCAGGTACTTGACAGATGTTTTGCTTATACGTAAACTATATATTAAAACCATTTAAATTATTGGTATTAATGTGTATTTGCAGGAAACGGCGATAGTTGCAGGACAAATACACTTATTAGGATTAACAGTCCATTATTTTGACAATAGGTCGGAATGGAATCCATACAATATTTACTTAACCGTTGCCGGATTTTTTGGCGTGACAGCGATTTATTTGTTTACATATAATACTAATTATATTATGTCAGAATTAATTGGAATGAAATTAAAGATAGCTTTTTGCACGATTATATATAGAAAGGTAAATATCAATTTTAATGTATTATGAATATATTACTATGTTTATATTTTTCACAACAAAGTGTATTGGAAAATATGAGGATTGAGCTAATTTACATTAATGAACGAAGGTTGTTTGCATATGCAGCAGTCGATTATCTTTCATGATAATATCGAAAAATAAGAAACAATTTGGGAATAAATGAAATCTATGTCTTTATGTATGAACAAATTCAAATAAATTTGTTATTTTGTTTAATTTTCTACAAAAAATTATGGTTTGTTGTTAATTTATATCTTACTTCACCAAATCTTTAATTGATTTATGTGTTATTTTTATCTTAAGTGCACCATTATAGATATTTCAATAAGACCTGCTATTGCTAATGACTCTCATAAACAATAATGACAGGATAATAAGATTGGTCGGCAACTGCGATAAAAATTGTTTTGTTTATAAGAATTTATGTATGTGCAATTATTTATGTGACTCGATTGGATTTGCCTGGAAGCCCAAACTACAATGTGGCAAATTTACTTTCTGTAGTCGTTGGACACATACAAGCAATGACAATAGCAAAAGTAACTGAATAATCCCTTCAGGGCCTGATGGCTCCTTACGAAACCCAACAATACATAAAAAATTAAAATGCACTTGAGAGTTTTTTTAATTTGGTGTTTATCTTTAAGATAAACATAAAAATACGCTTAAATCTAGTTCAATTCTTATATTCTGCAATATTTTCGATGCAATTAAATATAAATAAGTAAAATTTATTAGTTATTAGCGTTTAACAAATATAAAATTTTAGTTAAAAAGAAAAATACATATTTATATTATTTTGAAAATATATCTTTATCAATGTTACTTTTATTTTTATTAACATAACAGTGTTAGACAACACATGCCTATGGTAAATTGACATACCATTACATATATATATAAATGGACGTGTGTGTCCCTATATTTTACTTTTTCGCCAAAACTACACATCGCACATGAATGGTGTTTGTATATGGTAGTAGCCCCACGTCTCCATTCTGGCACCTACGTGCACTATGGTGGTTGAGTCTCGATAGCTATAAGGGTGCGGGAGATATGGGCTTGAAAGTGGTTGAAAGTGGTTTTCTATTTCGAATTTTATGCTCGAATTTGTACGAATTCGAATTCGAACATGAAATTCGAATATTGGTTCGATTATAGAACGATTGTAAACGTTCCAGAAACGTTGAAAATAGTTTGTTTGACTGGACGTGAACAGGAAACGTTCAGAAATAAAATCAGGACCAGGTCTCTAATTTGTCTGGAAACGGGGGATCTAATTCTTGCATTCTGTAAAAACGGGTAAGTTTGGCTATAATGTAATTATCTTAATCTTCACTATCGTTACTTTTTGTCCACAAATAAAAACCCAGCGAAGCGGGTCCTTGCAGCTAGTATGTATATAAAATAATAACATTGTGGATGGTACTATTTGATGTTTTTTCTTGAAATTAATATTCTGAAATTTATTACTGATGGCGAACTATTTATACCGTTAACTTAAGTGACAATAATAATACAATTCTATACTCCTCATCATTGGCTATATAATCTGTACTTCTAATTTTGTTTATTATTTATTTGTAATTAGTTTGTAAAATTTATAATGTGATGATGATCACAAAAGTAATCAAAAACCATTTTACTTTATGTATTTTATTACGATAAAAACTGAAATATAGTAGAGTGTCGATTATCCGAAAGTCAATCATCCGAAACGTCATTCATCCTAAAGAATTCCAGGCGCAAATTTAAATTTTCTCCAGTGCTGTGGCGCTGCAATCTTTGGCTATGTCTTGGGCTACTCAAATATTTTACGTTTTTGATATTAAATTAATTTCTGAAGTATAATTTTTTATTGTTTTTATATTTTTCAATATATTTATTTTGTTCGTACAATATAAAAAAAAAAAATTAACGATACAATAGTCTTTGTTAGGCTTAACATCGTCGAAAATGCAACGCGAAGCGACACGCAACGGAAAAAAATGTCAAGATGGGATAAATTAATATATTTTTTCGTTCGTAATCGGTTATCCGAAACACCGATCTTCTGAACAACGCCAGTACCCAATTGATTCGGATAATCGACGCTCTACTGTAATTACTTTTCAGTGTTTATAGAATCTGTTGCATTAACGTCTTCTAATATCTCTAATGTAATATTTAATCTGAGTCATAAACGTAAATATCTGCAATGGCTGTATTTGAAAAAAAATACTTGAGTGACCGAAAGCAAGAAATTCGACCAAAATGCAAGTGCGCTATATTTTTACTCATTGCATAAAATAAGCGCGATTTCATAAAGTGTCGACGTAGATTATATACAGCTTTACAATAGTTTCATTATCTATCTTATTTTCTCTTCTATACTGTCTGGCCGAATTTCAATTAATTTCAAACAAACTATTGCATTTACTTGTGACAACGCAATTGTCATCTTGTAGTCTTCTCACTTGCCTCTTTTAAAATAACATCATGGCAAATAATTTAGTACATTCTAGTAGCAACAATTAATATTTTTGTTGAATATTTTGTTGTGTCATTCAGTTTATTTATCCAATTATGTATTTAGTAATTTCATTAAGATTTTTTATCTTATAAAGTTGTTTATTTACGCAATTTTAATTTTCAAAACATGCCCAATTGTTTGTTTTACAAGCTTTAACTTTTTAATTAGGTGTGAATTCTGATGTTTTCTGTAATATTTCGACTAATGGGTACTTTTTTATTTAGAGTTCCTGATTTTCTAAATTGTGTGACTAACTTACAAAATGGTATTAAAATATCATTATAAAAATCACTCCTGTTTCATTAGTTATCAAGTGTTAAAGATAATACATTCCTAAGTATAATGAAACTGTAAAATTCATTCGACCTAATTATAATAAAAAAGAGAATTTTTGTTTTCAGAGTATTAAAACATTTAGCAGTTTATTGGCCTGATTTATGCCTAGTACAATTTTCTATATTACTTTCTCAGGAACGAAAAAAAAAACTACTTTGAAATTTTGGCTCTAAAAAAGTGAAACCTTTCTTTTAAATTTCACCCAAACCCAATGTATATCTGTATAACTTTAAATAATTTACAGCTAGTTAAAGTTGATACGTTAATTTTATTTGTGTTTTTTAAAAAGATTTTAAAGGTAAACATAAAACCTAATTTTTTGGATTCAAAAGACTTTTATATTGTTAGATAGTATACATAATACAGAAATTTAAGACATAATCATAGTTTTTAATGACATGTCAATTTTTCACAATTTAGAAGAAAACAGTAGAGTGTGCGAAATGCCACACACTTCATGGAAAGCATTTTACTCACAAAAGAAATTAAGGGTTAAAGTTATTCAACTTGAATAGTTTAAATGAGTCCAAAGAATATAAGAGTGTAAGATTTTCAGAAGAAATTTAAGATTAATTTTTTGGTATCAAGAATGTACACTCTCTTTTTTGATGTGCAATTCGTGTAATTTTGCAATATATTAATGTGTATAATATCTACAATAATATCCCTAATGAAGTAGAAAATACTTCATATGTAATATAATTACCTAAACAAAGTAAATTAACATTCAAGCTGTTATTTAATATTAATTCAAATTATAATTACACTTGTAGAAAAAGTTATAAAATTTATTTTAGTTTTTGTGTAAGGACATTGTAAAAAATTACTTTTTTATTTGAACATAATATAAGTTTTTGAGAATATTTATTTATTATATATAAAATTTTTTTATAGGCAATGAGGTTAAGTCCTTCATCTCTAGAAAAATCGAACGTTGGGCAAATGGTAAATCTTATAGCAAATGATGTCAGCAAATTTCAAAATGTAAGTTGAAGTAATTATGCATATTGCTATTCCTATATATATATATATTGTGTAGGAATATATATATATATATTCCTATATACACATTGCGTATTAATTTTTGTGGTATAATAAAATGAAAGGACAATAAAAATATTACTTTGTACACATAATTCAATTACAGGTAAATGTTCTTGCTTCAAAATCTCCGTTTCATTTATTTTCAATTGTAATTTAAAATCTAAGTGACTGACAACTATTACAAAGTAATGTTGACAAAAGTTACTGTAAGAGAAAGTAGCAATTTGTAACTCTCTCTCTCTCTCTCTCTCTCTCTCTCTCTTTCTCTCCACGATTCATATTAACATGTAATAAAACATTTTAATGAAAATCTAAAGCATCATAGATGCTTTTTAGAAATTCACTGGAAAACGAGAGAATTGGCAAGATTTTTTATCTGAACAACATATTGTGAGGAGCTAGCCGGGGATACGGAGTGGTAAGACTCTTAGCATCACTTAATCGGCAACTATTCCTTGAGAATAGCCCTCTGGTTGTCAATAAGAGTGGCTTTTCCTAGATCCAAGGAAAATCGAGTGTGGAGGGACTTACAGATTGAACGTTAAACTTAAAGCGGGACCAAAGGATTTCACAATCCCTCGTTCCCTGGTCAGGATTCCCGACACCAGTTAATCAATTTTAGATACGCGGATTAACACGCGTGTGAGGATGATAATACGGATTTGATTTAGACACTTGCGAGGCATTTCTTAAACAATAAATAAAAAGAAATCAATAAAACCAAAAATAAACAAATTTACACAAAAATGGAATAATTAAAATTAATCGATTGAGAGAAAGAGCTCACAATGTTTAATGATAATCATACTACCTCTAGATGATTTCTCTTTATCTTCACCTTTTAGTTTCTTTACACTTCAGTTTATGGAGAGGTCATGAGAAGCACATAATTATATATTTTCTTCTTTCCTTACTAACTTAATTCATTATTAAAGTCTGCTGGATACGATTAAGGGCGTTGGCCTTAGGGTGCCAATATGGAATACGTCTTCCTTCTATGGAATCTTGTGGCGTACTCTCTGAATCATGCAAAACTCGACTATATCTCATGGTTTTTATCCAATTAGCTTGTAGGATTTTCTCACGTGAATAAAGAAAAGGGGATTTATCGAGGGGTCGACAATTCCCAGGTGCTGAGATTTTTGGTAGATAAGAGTAAAACAGAAGGATGTTTTAACTTCCGTTAAAGGAAGTCACTTTTTAGTCGTTTCCCACGTTTAGAAAAACGATATTTTCACACGAAAAATTAAAGAATATTTTCTTTCAGAATTTAATTTTATAATTAAATTATTAATTAGACTCAGGGTCTATTCAGATAGCACAATATAATTAAACGAAACATCTTTTCGCTTTACATTTCGACATTATTACCTAATTCACTATATATCATGTATTGAAATAAGCTGCATAAACAAGAAGAATACAATAACAATATTTTTATTCTCATAAAAACAATGCCAATTGTAAAATTCTTGTGAAAGTTATTAATTGCTGTAGCAATTCGGAGACGAGAAAGAAGATGCGAACTCAATAAATGTCACTTGTCAAATTTCTCTTTAAATGTTTGCTTCGTTTACTACAACAACGACAAAAAATATGGCGTAATATATTGCCAATTATAATGATTCTTATACAACGTGACCGAAAAATAGAAAAAGTTGGTAAAAGCAAGGATAAATTCGATTTTTCTAGCATATCAATGATAATGCAGGTTTTACAAAGTTAACACAGTGAAATATACTTAATCATAACCAGACTGAGTAATTAGACGTTTTCAATCAGTTTACAAGCTAGCGCTTGTAAACTGATTTAAAACTGATTTTCTACAGCAGCGTGTGCAGTAGAAAATTTACAGAAATGACTGCAAACATCATTGCATATAATTGATTAAATTTCGTGATAATTCCAAAACATCTGTTAATCTGGCTTTGTGTAAAATTCCACATAAAATTTGTTTTAACAGTTTTAGATTAACCCTGAACTAATATTGTGAAATGATATTGCAATTATTGTGTTGTTACTCCAACGACCTATGTTATATCAAGATATATATAATATTGTTTGCAAGTTCAATTATATTTATAATAGATCTGATTCGATCCGATATTGTAACTTGTTGTAACTTGAATAAATTGTATTGGCTTTTTTGCTATGAATATTTTCATTTCGAAATGAAAAACTAAGAACTACAGGGAAAATATAAAATATTTCAGTAAGCAAAACAAACACGAATCTACTATTGTAGACCCATGGATATGATATGAACCTATTTTGTAGGTAAATGCAGAACGCCTTCCTACTACAATGTTAACTAGTAAATTTAATAAACACGCTGAGGCGTAGTAAGCATGACAATGAGGACAGCGGTAAATAAGCAACATCAAGATATGTTACATTGGTAGACCCACAACATCAATTATACTTTTACTATATTTGTATTACAGATTGACTTTGTAACCATTCTTTATTCGAAATTATTATTAACTTCCAGAATTAATTCAAAATTACTTCGTTTATTTTCATTATCGATGTCCATATTTTCGGAAAAATCTCACTTAAATTAATAATCTGCGTTACCCCCAAATTTGTGCTGGAAAATTCTCAGAAATGTAAAATTCCACACTTTACACTGTCAGTGACCAAGAACCATTCTTGCTCACTATAGTGTCACTGTACATTTTGTATATGTAATGTTTACCAATTATAATTTCTTCAGCGATTCTCTACTTCTACAAAGTAAGTTTACGTGCATATTTAACAAAATTCTCTTGGTTAGCTGTACTTTAATGATATCCACAGGCTGCATGCTATACACGTCACTATATAAATGTTTTCAACCAAAACGATTCCTGGATTTCAAAAAACCTGAAAGTATTTTGGTGGAATATAGCTTACTTTCATCTGCAGTTACTTATAATTCTTTATTGTCACATGTTCTTGTTTGTAACACAACTATTTCTTGTTCTGACATAATTTTTGGTCACCTAACATTATGAAGGTTTAACACAATTGTTCAAAAACTAGTCAAAGATGTTTGTCAGCTATGCCTAACATAATGATAAAACAGTTCGAAACTTGCTAAGTTTGTAAGTTTCCAGATGAAAAATCTAAATTTTATGTTTTTGATAATGAATATCCAGCTGAGAGCTTAACTGTTTTCAGTTAAGCTTCCAGTTTTGAAAATAAAACAAATTGAATCTTAAAGTCTTGCTTAATAAAAGTTCTTTTTATCAAATGGAAAACAAAATGCTCGAATTAAGTTGGAGAATTCCAAAGTTCAGAGAAATTTTAGATGATCAGGATCAGATTAAATGTCGATAATGATCTTTTCCGTGCCCCAAAACGTTTTGAGTTGTCACCGAGACAAGGGACGACCAATTAAAACATGCAATAGAGGAGAGAATCCTATATAAACGCGTGTTTCAAGAACACGAGTTCATTGCTTCCCATATTGTTCTTTTTTCGAGATCTGTGGTTTTCTTACCGGTCTGTGATCCACCAGGATACGCAGTTAACTTAAAGTATCTGTCGGTTCCAAATTTACCAATAAGACTCGGGGTCATTGATCTTTGGAAAACAATCACAAAAAGACCAAACATATATTCACTGCTACATTCAGACTTTTCCTTGACTTCTTATTACAAATCATATTTTGAAAGGGAACTCGTAAAGATAACATTATCTAACTTTTTAATGAAACATTTCAATATTTTATTCAATGGGAAAAAGTGAATGGTGTATTTAATGTTCACGCACGATTGTCTCGACCCTTCGATCCTTCTGACAATCGTACATAGTCACCCAGTGATGTAACCGCTAATATTCCTTTAACCAATTGTAACTGATTTTGTACGCGAAGTTTTCATCGCTAAAACGTCGAACGTCGAACGTGGCTATTTTGTAAGCCTAGAAGTTTGACAATGGCGTTTGAAACATCGAGCGTGGCGAGTAGAATTTCGGCCTAAACGTCTGCATTTTTTTTTTGTGCTTTTGGTTAAAATTATTACGTATTTTATTAAAATAATGATTATTTAAGGATTTGTGAATAACATTTTAAAGAATCCCACGATTTTAATCCAGCAATTATTTATTTATTTAATTTTTTGCAAGTGATGTGAATTACCTATAGATTTTTATATATTTTTGTTCATAATATAAGTACTTTATCATAATTCTCCAAAAGTAGGTTTATTCATCTTCTACCATAAACAGCGTAATACGTTTGTAAATTTCTATAAAAACTTTTCCAAGCTGTATTTCGCATTATATAAGCTACCACTTCCCTGAACAAAAGTATATCGTTAGAACAGGCAAAATGAATTGAAATTGTCTTACTATTATATCGTACAATAGGAGACACGACGCTAATTAAAGTAAAAAATAATTATTTAATGTTATCAAACATTCTCTAAATATTTTAAAATAGTTCATTTTTTTATTTACGTTTGCTGGTAACCATCGTCGTTCTTAAATGTTTTGCCATTCTTTAAAAATATCCCATGTCTCAGTGCATTCTGTGAACCTATGGTGCAACGTGTTATATTTAGAGTTCAAACGGTTTAAATGTCAAACCTGTGCTTCTGCTTGCAGTACAAGTTTAATTAAAGTTGAACTTCGGCCGTAACCTCTGTATGATGGTACGTGACATCTTATTAAACCCAAGACCAAATGCGCGCGAGAAAGAAAAACATTTTAGTGTGCCGGATTGATTTGTTTGTTAAACTAAGTAATACCAAGAAAACTCATCCCGTAATTACGAAAGCTAACAGTTAAAATGTCGCAACTGGATGCGGAGATTTTAAAAGAAAGGTGGTGTTCTGTGATGTCTCAGACAGAAATTGAACTTTTACATTTAACAAAAACAACCAAGTTTTATATGTAGAGCGTCCAATTGCGGCAGCACTCTGCAGTCGATCTGAAGTACTTGTTTGGAGCCGAACTTACCAACGAGCCTTGGAGTCATCGTTCCTTCTGAAAACGATCACTGAAAGACAAAACGAATACATTCACTGCTACATCCGAAAAGTGCCCTAACTAGGCCGATGCCAGCGGTGCCCAGGCACAGGGCGCAGACTCTGGGGGTGCAGAAATGACCAGGACCAAGTTTTGGGTCATAGTTTGGGAGCGTAGTTACAGAAGCTCGCACCGGACACATAAAAGGCTAGTTAAGGCGCTGCATCCGAACTTGTCCTACACTTCTTTTCTCAATCAGATTTTTCAAAGGAAGTTTGTTAAAAAAAACATTATTTAACTTTTGTAAGAAACCTTTTAATATTTTCTTAAATGAAAAAAAGAGAATGGTGTATTTCTTACCCAACAACGATCATCTCTAACCCTTGTCTGTTCCCAAATTCGTACGCAGTGAGCAAGTCCTACAAAATTTTAAACGCTTGTGTTTATGAAATTTCCTGGAATGTTATGACTTTCAACTATTTTAACGTCTATGACTTTATTTTATTTTTGATAAATTGAGAAATATCATTTTCTTCACCTTCTAAAAAATACACAGCCATCTCATTATTTCTTTCTAACTGAACCTGTTTCTCATTACCTGCATTATCTCAATTTTGAAAGTATTATAGAAGCAGGAGTCATACTGGTGTTCCAATTCAAACTATCAAACGATAAACCTGAATATGTCTTTTGGCTAAATTTTTCTTATCAACAGACAAAGTTCAGTTCGTAAAAAACTTTTTACTACTATTGTATTTCAAGATGCAAACATACACTCTTCAAACTAGAAAAAATTCGATATTGGCAATTTTTTATAAACAAAGTAATAAATACAATAAAAAACAAACTATTAACCTGGAACATGTGATATTTTGATATACACATTTGACATCACAATATGTTTCTCATATAGTTTATGTCAAAATTTTATGTTTTAAACAATTTTGAGAACATCAAAAACAAAAACTTTTCAAATAAATATAAATTCTAAAGGATCATTTTAAACATTTGTTAAAAGTAAACTACTAATTCGGACTCTCCAGTTTTTATATTATATCATACATGCATTTAACTGTTTTTATAGATATTCGTCGGTTTAAGAAAGTTTTTGAAAAAATAAAAAATAAAAAAATAAAACATTAATTAATTAACATTTAAAAATTTATTACATTCATCCACAAACTGTCTAGAAATATTCTAATTTTTCCAATTGCTTCAATGTAAAAATTATTTTTATTTATCGTACCACCATTTTCTGTATAATGGGACTGTTTATAACCTAATTTAATTGATGTCAAATCTTTATTTCAATCAAGTGCCGCATCTTTTTTTCATGAAGATGTTGCTTTGAAATCAGATTAAATAAATTAAGTTGTATAGGATACAACTATTTCATAAACTAAAAAATAAATAATTTTAAAATTTGTCAAAAATAGTCAAAACACATTTAAGAGTTTTCCAGAAATGTGCCATTAGAAGTAAAACATTTATATGTAGTGTAATTAGATAATAACAAAATTAGTTGCCGAAGAATGTGATCCTGTAAAATAAACTGCATTTAATCACAGAATAATTACAACCAAGTATTTTCAGTTCTTCTGACTATTGAACTCGATGCGCCTTAAAAATACACAGGGAAAAAGTAATTTGTGTTTACATGAGGATATGGGTGTTTTGGTATGTTGGCGTTGTAAAAAGATGCCATTACATATGATTCTTTCTTCGCAGCAGTGAAATGAACTTCTAAAAGTAGTTGTAATTTTTCAAAGGACAAATTTATCAATACTGTAATTATTGTTTTGTAAACGAGTTTCTTTCAGTGTAGAATAAAAAGTAATGTAGTGTTAACTGTTGAGTTTACAGTAAAATAATGAAAAATAAATGGTATATGACTTTGTGTGATTGTGTTGTTATCGATTTCATGCAAAAACAGGTTCGTAAAATACGTAAAAGTTCTTTACTCACTTATACGAGTAAAACAGTACAGTATGCCAGATTTAATATTCATGCTGTTAAAAAATTACTTTTAAACAATTTAAAACTATACAGCAGCCAGCCTGGATACAAACTGTACAGCAATGTTTTCACATCCAGAAATAATATGAATTACGGAAAATTCTGAATATATAAAAATCCAAGTAATTTTCAATCATTGATTGTCTAGCATATTTTGAACCTGTAGTTGTGAAATGAAATAACTAAATCTTTTTAAAAAGTACACAAGTTCATGTAAACTTAACACGTTTATCGTTTATTTTATAGTTTCTGTAATAATTGTACTTAAAATTATATTAATAGTAATCGAATATATAGTATTTTGTATAAAACAAATTTTTTTATTTATTACAGTATACCAATTCCATTCCATATTTATTTACAAATCCTTTCTTCATTATCACTGCGATAGCGATGTTATGGCAATATTACGGATGGACTATTCTAGTAGGATTTTTGGCCATATTTTTCTACATTCCTATACAATTTGCTTTGAGTAAATTATATTCAAAACTGAGGTAATTAAGTTAAATTATAATAATAAAATAATTTATATAATTGTGATAAACCTATAAATAAAATATAGAAATAATGCATAACTTAGTGATTGTTAATGAATATGAAATACAGATATTTAATAAATATAATGTTTCATACATTAGTCGAAATCTACAGACTTGTAGCTGATGCTAGAAATGACTGAGTAACTGGAAGCATTTAACTTTTTTGCTCGAGTAATGTCCGTGGTGCGCTAACTTCTTACACAAAATGAAAGTATGTTTAGATATGATACTGTGTCTATATTTCAAAAAGGCATAGAAGAACTTCGTGTTTTATATTATTAATTTTCTTCGTTAATTTTGTTCGATAAGTTTGTTTTCGAAGAATTTTTCATATTTGAATAACATTTTTTGTGGATTTATCTTTTTTTCAGTTTTATATTAAGTGTTGAAGTTCCGTTTCATTGTTTTCCATCATTTATCGTTTAATAAATTACAAAACTTCGATATCTACAATAAAATATCTGGATAACTATATACAAATGTAAGAATATATTTACATACAGTTAGCAACAGATCACTCCTCAATTTATAAAATAAACTGAAAGTTTTCATTTACAGCTCTCTTTTGTATTACTTCATTTTTTTATAATCTGATTCTTTACTTACTTTTTTCGCTGTTTGGCATCGATTTTTATTTTTCTAACACTTGTCATAACGTGCATGTCGAGNATGTTTCAGTTGTACTTTACTGTGACTATTTTAATATTTACAATTCTCACCTTAAAATAGGTGAGAATTGTAAATATTTTAAAATTCAAAATAAACTCAAAATTTTCATTTACAGCTCTCTTTTGTATTACTTCATTTTTTTATAATCTGATTCTTTACTTACTTTTTTCGCTGTTTGGCATCGATTTTTATTTTTCTAACACTTGTCATAACGTGCATGTCGAGATTCTTTTACTCGTGTACGAAAATATAAGAATCGGAAGTGTAAAGTAATCATTAATCACAGAAAACAGAGGAAATGATTTTGTTTTTACCGTTTGCTCGAAGCATTTGCTTTAACTTCTGTCTTACGCTTATTTGCATTTTCTTCGTTTACATTCATGTGGGCCAACATAAAATATATTATTATTGTAAAGATATAGGAGAGACCGGGGCAACTTCGGCATGCGGGGCAAGTTTGTCAACCGCTTTTTTTTAAAAACAAATTAAAAGGAAACTTTGGTTATAGGTTAGGCAGTTGAGTTTTATTGGTGGCTTGTTGAGTGTAGTGTTTTTATTGTTCTCCAACAAGCGTAGTTGAATTATCAAGCAAATTTTCATTTTCGTTCAATTCCATATAATATTTTTTTTCCATTTATATTGAATTGGCAGGTTTTGTTATAATTCCATGATAACGAAAGTTACTTTTCCTGTTAGAAGGATGTAACTTCAACTTATTCACGTGGCCAGATCGTGGCTTGGCATTCTGTTCTCAGGGTTGTACTTAATGTTTCGAAATCATGACTAGCGGGGTAAGATCGGCAACATAAAGCCACATTAGAAGCAAAGGATAAAAATCAAACAGATGATAAATGAAAACATGTTTGCATTTGTTATTCATGTATATATGTCTTTGAACTTGCATTTCGTTGTAATAATATTAAATGGGTGTTGGATTTGTATTTCTTTGTTTTAATAGTGAATTCCAACTTATACATTGTTAATAACATAATTTTATATACGTGCCTATCTTGCCCCATTACTGTTGCCCCTATACCAGGGGCAACTTTAATAAAAATAATTAAAATAATTACAACTTTACAAAAAGAGAGAAGTTGCCGATCTTGCCCCTATACCCGGGGCAACTTCGTCAATTTCTCTCTTCTTGTAAAGTTGTAATTATTTTAATTATTTTTATTTCCAAACTGATTTTAACCAGTTCTATAGTAAGGTAGCATTCCAATAGACAATATGCAAAGCTTTTTTTCAGTTTACAGCAGAATTTATTACACAAAATTTAAGTAAAGCTTAACATGCCGATCTTGCCCCGGTCTCCCCTATTTATTTGATATTGGTATTCTGTCCATTGCATAATATGGACATTGCTGAAATAAGCTACTCCTATGAATTATCCTTTAAATCATTATTCTGGTGGTGATTGTATGATGCCAGCATATTTTCTTTTCCAGGGAGCAAGTGCCCAGTATAAAATATGTACTGTATCAGTTTTAAAAGAGAAGTTAGAAAAATACTAATCTTTTTTACATTTCATAAAATAATTTTTAAAAACGTTCAGATATATCGTGCAATGAATGGAGAAGTAAATGTTAAAAGCAATGTTTATATGAAGAGAATGATGCCATTTATTTATTATCACTTAACTTACTTTTAGCTAAAAAGAGAGCGTTTGTTTACAATGTCATAAAACAATTAGCGGTTTATTAACATTACCAGCAGGGGTACAGCGGGATCAACATACTTTCGGCTAGAAACAAAATTAATATTTTTGACCTTGACATCTGAAAAGTCTCTCTAATCACAAGCAATTACCATATTACAGGTTAAATCTAAAAAAAAAAAAAAAAAACATTTTATAGCAGGTTAAAATTTGATATGTATATTTTTACTTTTAGATGAATGTATAAAAAATAAATACAGATAAGGCATGTTCACCAGTTCATGAATACTTTAATAAATAGAATTGAATGGTGAATATATTTTTTTACTTCCAATAATCTTACTGTTATATAATAAATTACTTCAATCTGTGAGACACAATGTGACTATTACGTCCATCGAAAGGAATAAACTTAAGCAGATATACGCTTCATATCCAAAAATTTTCTTTTTTCCATTCACTTCTTTGGATGTATAATGTCTCGCAACATCTTACTTTGCATTGAAATGGGAGGGTGAAATTTCACACAATTTCATTGTTCTCTCACGTTTTACATAGTAGATGAAAATGTATAAACTGAATTTTATTTCTATGCATTCAATATCAATTTTCTTTCCTATTACGTACGAAAATGATGATGGATTTATTATTATTTAGGATCACATTTTTATAAAAATGATCTTGTAGATCAACAATAAAAATAGTTATACTTATTTTACAGACAGCATGATTATAAATTAGTGATAACTAAATCTGCTAAGCTAATTCAAAATGCACTTGCTTATCAGTGAATATCCACAAGAACTTTAGGCCTTGACACACTAAAACAACTACTAAAACAAAATTGTTTACTTCACCAACAGACACACTTTTACAGCAAATGATTTAAGAATTTTACTAAATGTTCACAAAATGTTCAATAAGGAAAAAAGTAAAGTAAGTAACTGGAATAAAAGAAAATAGTAACTATCATAAAATTAATTAATAAATATATAAGAAGTAATTTTATGTATGCCTCTTTTTCCAAGACTAAGTATTTAGGTTAGATTTACCCTAGGTATCCAAGATGACGACACTTCCTGTTGCCATTTTGAAGTCTATTACGTAATGATACTTACAAGGGGACCTCACGGTCTCGGAAATTCAGTTCGGGATGACACTTCACAGGTTAGTAGTATACATTGTGTCCACCGAGAAGAATTGTAAAGCGCACTAGCCAGAAGATTCTGAGGAAAAAGTCTCTAAACTTTTAAGCGTAGCTCATATACTGGTCGATTTTACATTATGGCAGAACAGCGAAATGGCTGAGTCTGTGGCGAACTCGCTTGCCACGCGTGCGATATAGGTTTGATCGTATCTTCAGCTAATCTTTTTTTTAATCATTTTGAAAATTATAACAACTTTTAAATAAAGTTAATGACCTAAAAATATTATCAATTAAATCATAAATAATTTTATTTAATTTATGAAATGACTGTTCAGCTAATTAAAATATGAATTAACGATATAAAGATAATATTTTATTTTTAAAAAGTTGAATGATTTCAAATGCATTTTTAATTAATGGAGGTAAATTAAAACTTTAATTACTATTGCCATTAAAAATTTATTACAAATTTTAAGATATTATAAGCTGTGAAGAGGTTAAACGATGTCATATTATGCATAGCAACGAGCATTACAAACCGTATATAATTACATCAATCAACTGCTGAGAAATTCCAGCAGCAATAGCAGAATTCGCTGAGGTACATTCTAGCCCTACATAGTGCTATTAAAATGACAATATTGCTGTACACGAAATTTTACATTTTCTTTTGAAGGTGCCGTCAAAGGCTGAACTGTTACGCCTACAATTTTCACATCTCAAAACACATAAATTTCTATCACATCTATACATTATTTTACACTTTTTAAAACTTAATTTACAAACGTCCTTAATATGGTGAAAGGCCTAAACTTACGACAAATTTGAAATCACTACCAATTCTGGAATCTAAACCTAAATGTAAATATTCAGATTCTAAAATTTTATAGAACTGCTTAGTTGTGCATTTTATCCAAAAATCTTCAGAATTTGTTTCTAAATTATCCATCATTAGCAAATTAATAAGAAAAACTTCGTAAAAAATTCTATTTTTTAACGATAATTTAAAAATAAAAATTATTAATATTAAGATTAATACAAATACTTATTAAACTTCTGTTAAAATTTTCGTACTTTTAACTTTTGTCACTACAAACACACCTAAAAACACGTTGACATTTTATAATTTACATAATTCATCACAAATTGTTAAACAGCGCCATCTACGTCAAATGTCACCGAGTGATCTTATTCGAGGTTACAGGACGTGCCGCCATCATGGATACCTAGGGTAAATCTAACCAGTATTTAAATTTAAAACATAATTCTATAATAATAGATTACAGGCAGCTATATTGGGTGATAAAAGATTGAACCTGTTGAACGAGATGATTGCTGATATGAGATTAATTAAAATGTACACCTGGGAATTGCCATATATCGCATTAGTTGAAAAAATCAGAGAGTAAGTAGAATTAAATACAGTAATATCTGTGTAAAACAGTACACGAATCTAACAAAAACCTGTCTAAACATAATTTTGCGTAAGAAAAAACATTTTTCAATCTTAAATAAACTGTTGAAGATTAAAAAAAATCATCAATGCAATAGAAAAAAATATTGGTGTCATTCTGGTTTTTACCCAGATTTTACTGCATTTTTCTTATCGCTATTTTGTTTTAATAATTACTTTCAAATTTCTACAAGTCGATTTATTGAATTGTTTATATTTGCAGGAAAGAAGTGAAAAAAGTACGAAATTTTTCATATGCGAGAGGAATATTAACAACAATGACATATCCTATATCAAAATTATATACTTCTCTCACATATCTTGCATTTTTTTTAAATGGAGGTCAATTAAATGCCCAAATTGTGTTTATCACTATGACTGTTTCCATATATATATTATTTAGCACTACTAGTACATTTTCACAAGCATTAAATTTTGTTGCAGAAGTTTTGGTTTCGTTGAAAAGAATTCAGGTAATGAACAATTTTGAAATTATTTTTTTCATATTTTATTAATATAAAAATTTATTGGAATATATTAATATTTAATTTAAAAATTTAATATATTATAACAATTTTTTACAAATTCATTTTTCTCATCTTTTGTTTCTTTTGCCATGGACGAAATGTACTTCTTTTGTTATTATACTTATCATGAGTTTTGCTAGACCCATGTTGGGGTTGAACAACTAGCCACAGGCAAGGCTTGTCATTTCAGACCACGCTTTGTAAACTTTCTGTGGTTTTCAAACTAACCTGAGTGAATTTGAGGTTTTCCAGGTCTTTTATTTTGTTCTAGGCAAAGATAGTAATTTTGCCCTCCCTTTTAAGATACAGGCATAGTGTAATTTTAATGGAAACGTTTTATGGCCCAGACGCCACACATTGAATTAATTATTTTCAAAAAGTAAAAGAATCCTCTGTAATTAAGAAAGTTTAATTATTTCTATTATCTTCAGGCAATTTTCCGCTTTTAGCAATTTCCCTCCCTGGGCGGCTGCCCCTCTTTTTGAATTCTGTATCAGCCGGCCTTCAAAAGTGGCTCTTTAATTCAGTAGGTGATCAGGAGGGAAAGTATAAAATTTTGTTTATAACAATAACAGTGATAATTACACCATGACTAATTTTAGTGAATGTTGACAGTAAGGTTTTGTTATCGCTATTTTGTTTTAATAATTACTTTCAAATTTCTACAAGTCGATTTATTGAATTGTTCATATTTGCAGGAAAGAAGTGAAAAAAGTTCGAAATTTTTCAAATGCGAGAGGAACGTCTCTCATATGAATGTCAGATGTTCTCACATCTCGCTTAATGTGAGAAAGCAATTATCCAAACTATTTAATTATACAGCCTATTACAAGCAAGTTATCCGTGCTAAAAATTCAGATACATATCTGCATAATCTACTGACTTTGGCTAGTTTGTAGAGGAACAGCACTATCACCTACAGGTTTTTCGGAATTTAAATATGTCCTGATTGTAAATATTCACATTCTTTTGGATAATGAATAACAAAAAATAAACGCGAGATTGATATTTTTTCTGCTGAAGTATATGTAAAATACAAGCAATTCTTTTGAATTCTGAAAAAGATTCAATAATGAACAAACAGGAATTTTTACAAAGAGTGGAATTTCATCTGTTCATACTTGGGAAATGCAGAAAAATGCAGATGTTGAGAGGAAAGTTTTGTTATTAAAGTTATATCAGTACATTTCACACTGACATAACATTAATGAGATGTACTTGCAACGTTTGACAAGAATGTGACAATTTCACTACTATAGAAAACTGTTGTAGCTATTGTGAAAAAGCCATACAATTAGTTTTTTAGTTTAGAGAGTGCGTGTAACAAAAGGATATTGATATAATTATCAATATAATGGAAGTAATGTTTACACTAATCGTGGCACTTTAAAAATTAACAACGGTTAATAAATAACTTTCTCTAAAACAACATTTATTTATGTACAGGGTTTCTTTTTAAACTGACGGTCTCAGAGACATCTGTAGAGCAATCTAACAGCCGGACTGTCGCCAAATTTGTGAGAGTGACTAAGGACAACATGGGAAAGAGATTCCGCGAAGAAAAAAGAAGTACCCAAATTCGCCGGTAGGGGTGGATTTGGCGCTGCTGTAGCGAAAAAGCTAAGAATTTGCATAACGCGCTGGTAACACCTCAAAATCCAAATTCACAATGACGTGGTCAACAGCAACGCCACGTAATTTGAGCTTAAAAGACAAGGACAAATGTCCGAAGTGCATTCTGGACATCAGCAGAGTTCAACATGCATCTTTCGTTACCTCAGCGTGCGTTGCTTGTGAAACTTTATTATTTTAACCAATCAAGCTCACTGGGTACTCTTCGTGAGTTTAGAGCCCGTAACAACCTGCGCATTTATCAAGTCTATCAATTAATGCATTGATAGACTTGATAAATAAATTTGAAGAGACAAGATCCTTAGCAGTTCGGCATGGTAGAAGGCAGAAACCGGTGTCTGCACAAGCAGTTAGTGATGTTGCGACTGCACTCATTGAAGGTTGACAGGGGACCATTGCTGGTAATAGCAGTGCCCAGGATGAGGCACGACAATTGGAAATGACACCTTTGACGGTATGGCAAGTTCTGTGAAATGTTCTCAAGTTCTATCCGTAGAAGATAAGCCGCCTGCAAGAATTAAAACCAAATGACCATGCTATACGGTTGACATTTTCTCTGACATTTCTTGCCAGGATGGAGGTGGACGATATTGGCTGTGGACAATTTTCTGGGGAGATGAGGCCCATTTTTACCTATATGGGGATGTGAACACTCAAAATTGTCGCATTTGGTCATCAGAATACCCCCAGGAGGTTCTGCAAATACCATTGCATTCACCGAAACTCACTGTTTGGTGTGGCTTTACAGCAGTTTTCATCATCGGACCATTTTTTTTGGGAACATCACTTGAACAGGACCACAGATTTGTACTGTTACTAAGAAAAAGTATCGCGATATGCTGATTAGTTTTGTCATTCCGCAATTTCAGCAACGACAATACCTGGATGAGACAATCTTTATGCAAGATGGAGCACCACCACACATTGGTGTCACGGTGCAGAATGTGTTGCGCCAGCACTTCAGTGAAGAAAGGGTCATCAGTCACCTTTTTTTCCATTTGCATGATCGCCTCGCTCCCCAGTTCTAACTCCATGTGACTTTTTCCTGTGGGGTTACTTAAAGTCCAAGGTTTATATTGGTGGTGTCCCCAACTTGATGACCTTGAAATACATTTCTCGAACTGTGATGAACATCCCTGTGGACATGTTACGTTCGGCCGTAGAGAACACGGTGATTAGGATGCAATGTGTTGTCCAGCAGGATGGTGGTCACAATGGAAGAAGGTTATTTTCTGATTAATTAAACTTTCATTATTGCACTGAAACCTCTGTCTGATTATTCATTCGTGTGTTTGTTAATTGCAACTGGATTTTATGCAAATTTTAGCTGTTTCGCTACAACAGCGCCAAATCCACCCATACTGATGAATTTAGGTACTACTTTTTTCTTTGCGGAATCCCGTTCCCATGTCGACCTTAGTCACTATCCCAAATTTGGCGACAGTCCGGCTGTTAGATTGCTCTATGAATGTCTCTGAGTACCGTCAGTTTAAAAAAAACACCCTGTATTTCAATGAGTGGTTCAATATCACGGCTTCATAAACAAACATTCCATACAAGTTCTCATGCTGATTCTCTTTTCCTGGGCAGATTAGCACGTAAATTAATGAATCACTGCTTCGGACATAATATAAACTAATGCAATGTAAAATATATAAATTGTCATCTGCCACGAGAAGAAGTTTTAAATTCAATTAGTCTTACGATGCTCATTATGAGATATAAAATAAAACAGTATGAACGACTTTATCCTGATGTTAAAAACTACCATTTTGCCTAAATTTTTTAAAACATGAAGACTTAGATATGATACATTAAGTAAGATTTTTGGCATTTTAATTCAGGATTTTCTCCTATTTCAAGAAAAACAAGAGAAAACTCTGAAAGTTGTAGATGAGAACGAAAATTCAAATGAATATGGAATATGGATGAATGATGTCACAGCTACATGGAAAAAAGTAAGACATAATTTAAATTCAATCAGTATCGGTTATGAAATGAACGACATAGTTGTTTTAGTTTATATAATTATACTAGTTTTTAATGGCTCCATTACTACATCATTGTTATATAGAGTAAAGAACAGTATAAAGAATATAAAGTCAAAGTAATCTCACTGCAACTGAATTTAAAGAAACTTTTTACTCGTAACGTCATATGCAAAGCATATCTTTTAAAATAACAGTTCAAATTAGTAACAACGCATAAAATCATAAGATTTTTTTCCGTGCCTTATTGTCAAGAAAACGAAACTTAACTAGCGAAGATGATAAAAATCGCTTGGTAGAAAATAAGCGCATCAGTACATTTGAATGGAACAGAAGTTTCTCCAACGCAAAGCAAAAAATATAAAAATGATATTTTTGTAAAAATAAATATAGTTTAAATTGGTCCTCTATCGAATCAACTAATCAAGCTAATCAAGCTAATTGCAAGCAAGGCTCGCAAGTACCTAGTTTATGTAATTTTTCTAATGAGAGCATACACGAATAGGAAGATGACATCTGTGAGAGTCCAGAACTTTTCAGCTTACAGACAAGTCACTTAGTGCAAAGCTTATCAACTAAACCTTTGTGCCTTAAAAACTGGTACAAAGTTAATTATTTAAACCTTTTCAAAAAGTCTTTAATAAATCGATGCTAAAAAAGTGTTGCAATGGCGTCTCTCAGTTTCCATGCACCAACAAAACATTCTGTATTTTTATCCGACAATGCTCGATTATTGATTACATTTTACAGACAGGACAGATTATAGAACTTTTATTATAGAAACAATTGTCACAACATAGTATACCTTTAATATACATTAACAAATAACGCCACACTAATTTTAAAATTTAGAAAATATCAGCTTTCCTACTAAATAATATGGTACTGTACTTACGTTATGATAATTTAATTTATGATATGTTATTTTTAATTTATGACATATACGATTACTTTTTTACAATATAGCTACTTTATCTGTTTAATTTTTTAAAAGGAAACTCACCCAACACTAAACAATATGACTGTAAAAGTACAACCCGGAGAATTATTAACTGTTATAGGTCCTGTTGGATCAGGAAAGGTGAATATCTCGTTATGTAGTTCTATATTTTGAATCAATGGTTCTCAACCTTTTTTGTTGATGTACTGTATTAGTCCATTAGTTGTTTCTCAAGTACCCCTTATATTTTTGTATCTAAATTTTATAATTACTGCATTATATGTATACAGCCCTTATAACTGAGCGCCGTAAAAAAACTCTGATTAATTATAAAACTAAAAGTGAATTACTTATTTTACGTAAATAATAATAAATTTAATCAGGTACATACATTTATTTATTATTATTTGATAAGTATATTATATAAAATCTTAGAAGTCATTTCAATACATGCATAAATTACATTTCTTAAAATAAATAATTATAATTAACAATAAAAAAAATTTAAATTATTCTCTAGTAATTTCTAACAAAATTTAATGGGATATTTATTGCAATAAATCTTCAGCAATTTTTTAAAAATTTGGTTCCCACATTGTTAAATAGAGATTCTAATTGTGTACTGATCTTGAACGTAATGGCTGCTAATTTATAACGTGCAGAACAATACCTGGATCTTTGAATTTTTGTAACAAACATAACGTCTAAATTTACTAAATATCAAGTAGTGTGCAGGTGAAGTGAAACGCATTGCATGATGGGGGACGATCCAGGCCTCGTTATACCCAATATCAGTAGTCCAGTAAAAACACGAAAAGCCCCAATCTCACTGAGCAATAATTATAGAATAGAATAAAAAATATTTTTCTATTCTAAAATTAATGATCGGGTAAACCGTTATTTTACTAGACTACAGGTTCACTCGGCACTAACAGCATAAATAGACGGGCAAATCAAGTGGATAAACAAATCGTTTAAACTGTTAAAAGGGAAATCAGGGTTAATACTGCGATATTTTAAAGCACGTTTTTGTAACTTTTTGTTTCTTGTGTTACTAATTTAAAGCAGATTGATTAACATACGCCATTTTATAATGAACGTTAGATGTACCCCTTCGATTTATGATTGTACCTCTAAAGGTACATGTATCCCCAGGAGAACCATTGTTTTAAATCATTTATATGCTTTGTGATATAAAGATTGTTTATAAATAATTAATAAAAATGTTTTAAAAATTTAACCATTTATCTATTTGTAATAAAATTAGTTTTATTAAATTATTATATTTAATTGTTCTTGTTAAATAATTTTATATGTTTTTGATAAGTTACAGCGGGAATTAGTTGCATGATGTAGAAAGAGATAAAAAGTAGTTTAAAAAATTCTTTGTATTATTTATTCTGTGCAATTATGCACACAATAAATAATAAAATAATCTGCTTTCGAATCTGACTTTTTTCCATTACGTAGTTTAAATAAATTAACTGATTTTTAACAAGACATATTTCACCTACAACTAGATGCAGGTACATTTATATTTACATTTCGTATAATTTGTTCATGTAACTTATTTATAGATCAGGGGTGTCCAACCTTTTTGTTTCTCTGGGCCACATTGGAAGAAGTCATGCAGTTTTGTGCAACAAGTACTGTATAATATATATACTTGTGGCACAAGTATATTTTGGCACAACCCTTAAATATACTTATATATTTTAGGATTAACATGTATAGATTACAGTAATAAGTATTAAAACTTTATTACAAAAAAGCATTTTTAAAAAATTTACTTCTACAGACTCTTTTAATTTATACTTAGAAATAGATAAATTCATTTATTATAAAAGAGACAAACGAAAATTTATTTGAAAAAGAATAATTGTTGTTTTATTTGGGTCTCTAATTAATAAAAAAAGACAAAAAACACCATTTTAAAGTGCATTTTTATTCGGCTAATATATTTATAAAAAATTTGTAGCTCANAGAGTAGCTCGTTGAAGTGTTTAGTGATCTTAATTAATAAAGAATTATTCGTATCATATAATCTGGCAAGTTAAGTCATTTATAATGCATCATGGCTTCTAAAAAAACAGAAAGGCGATTTCAATTGAAGCAAAGCAAGAAATCATCAGGAGTGAAAGTTGACAAAAACTTTCTTGTCGAATGGGAAGAGGTTCAGGAGTTTACCAACACTTATTATCCAAACAGAGCTGAGGCCAGCAGGATCAATGACCTCTACGATGACACCTTTGTCCGTCATTTCCGACAGGTGTTAAAGAAGAAAGAGAAACAGACCACCTTGGTCATGTTTTTCAAGAAGCCAGCGGGCAAAAAACAAAGGATGGAACAAGAGAAGTTGACCCTGCAAGTTTCGGTAGCCTCTCCTGAATCTGATTCCAATTTAAAAAACAATAAAAAAAGACCCGCTGCAATGTGTAAAAAGTCTGTATCTGTACGAATGTGTAAAGAAAGTGTTCTTCCACCTTCTCCTCACATCTGACTACCCGGCATAATTGGTGCCTGCTCCATTTTCATTTTTTATGGTACAGTACGGTTATTTTATGCTGCGGAACGAATTATGTTTTAACATGTATTTCTATGGGAAAATCGTTTCGTATAACGGACGTTTCACTTAACGGACGTGCACCTGGAACGGATTAAGTACGTTGTACGAGGCACCACTGTACTTGCTTCCCTATCATGGTCGAGCCAGTGTTGCCAGCTAAAACATGTAAAGTACTATTTAAGTAGCCAAGACATAGCCAAATATTGTAGCGCTACATCACTAGCGGACATTTGAATTTATCGACTAGAACGCGGCCAGTTAACCGAGATGACGGTTAATCGGGGTTAGGATAATTGATGCTCTACTGTATTATTGTTATTTTTATCTATTCACGCACTGTTGAGATTCAGATTAGTTTGCCAGGTTTGCATTTTATGCTGTATATGGCAGTAAATATGAAACAAAAATTGCATGACGAGTTAACCAAAGCCTTTTCAAATACTGTATACATTTAATTCAATACCTGTTACTGGTAAATTGATTAAAAACGCATAGGCACTTCTTAATGGCTGGAAGCTAAATATTTATTTGTAACCATTACCGGTATGTTTATATATTCACATATTAAACGCTTAGAAACGATTATATTTATATATATTATAAATTTATTCTAGGAAACATTTGAAGTCATTGACAATTACAATAAAATAGAAAATTTAGAAATGCTTACAGGAATTTCGTCTGATAAAGAAATTGCTGAAAATAAGATGGACTTAGAGACTGATGTTTGTTATGATGATAAAATATTCGAAAGTATTCAAACTGATATGTGTGATAATATTGAAGATAGTAACAACAGTAATGAGGTAAGAATTATTTATGTATTAAATAGTCATCTGAGTGAATTATTATAATGTAGATGAAATGTGATGTGGCAGATTCCATTTCTCAACTTCTGTACATTATTCTCTCTAAAATTTTAATTAAACTAAACAATTACTTTATAAATTACAAACGATTATTATAACCAGATTAATCTATTTGCTGAGTAATACATACAGAATATTAACAGAAAACTCTAAATGGCAAAGCTGTAATTTGGAAAATTATCGAATAATATAATAATTACTGACGAGCATGTTATTTATTGTTAGCATTTGCATCCCTATTATCAAAATTAAGCTTTTTCCCATTTTCTAATAATTAAAAATATCAAAAGTTTTAAATAACAAATATTATTTTAAATGATGCGTTATAGAAAAGCAACAGTTCGTTCATGCTATCCGCGCCCATTAGTCGATATACTATTTGTCTCTTTTCACTAAATTCAAATGTGACAGTCTAAATGTCACTCTGTTTTTATTGAGTAATCTAGTCAACGTTGCTTCCCTTAATATGTAATATGTCTATTTAATCGTTATTCGAAATCGCAAATTAAATAGCATTTTATAAATACTTTTACTTAAATTTTGTTAATTTTGTTTCTCAGAAAACTGATTTCAAATAAATACTCATATTAAATTAAAGATATTGTCCCATCTTTTTAATTCTTCTAATTATTTCATGTAGTATTATTCTGGAAAGCTTTTAAGCTTTGCAGAATAATACTAATAAAATCTTTTAATACTTTTAATTCAACTGAAGACATTAAAATGCTTTCAATTGAATTAAAAGTATTCAAAAGTTTTATCTAGCAGCTATTTAATTAATTAAACACTTTAACGCCGATTCACGAGAAAACTCGTCATGTTTACATAGCGTTACGAAAAACTCGGTAGTTAAGGCCACTTTTGACAATTTTTTTTTTCAATTTTTGGAATGTTTTTAAATCCACAAACTTTTGCAAAAATTTTTACCCGCGCAAAAAAATTTTATCGCGATTTTAATCAGCCTTTGATAAGGCTCGATTAAGGCTTAATTGTTTTTAATGGGAGTTTTTTTACCAAATTTAATTAATCGTTTTAAAGTTGTAGTGCACGGATTTGATTTCGGTAAAGTTATTTAAAGCTGCTTTCTGATGTCAAAAACGACCTCCAATAGTTTTNCCTAGTATTCACCCTACTTTAAACCCTTGTCCTCCTGAGACATCTCAGAATGCCCCCAGAAATCCGACTCCAGCTGTACTCAAGGTCATCCAGCTGTGTAAACAATGACTCATCCGTGTTAAATTTCGCAGAAAGGCGAGACAAAGGAACTTAAACTTCAAGGCCTCTTCTTTAAATTTAACGCATTTCTTTTTCGTTTTTTTCCAGTTTTAAGTATTTTTTATGCTTAATTACATTATAATTAAAAACAGGTGGTTGTTAAGGGGTGCTCTAATGTATTGGACAGGATTAAAGAGATGGACAGAATTAAGGAAGTAGCTTCAAATTTGGGTTACCGCAAAAGTACAATTCAAGGGCTAATAAAAAGTTATAAAAGAGGCAATAAGGTTAAGAACCGGAGCTTTTCAATTTAAGATCACCAAATTTAAGTATAATAAAAACTTTAGGGTCATCATGAAGCAGGTTTCAGACAGAAAACGCTTCAAAATTTTTTACAAAAGATGTCCTAATTTATACAGTATTTTTAGAAACGATAAGGACAAGCTTAAGAAAGAAGAAACAGCACGCGTGTATAAAAGTCCCTTTGAAAACCAACAGCTAGAAATTATGAAGGACTATATTGGAGTCACTAGACGAAATTTGGCTATTAAGCTTTAAGAACACACAAAGGACATTAGTAAAGGACATTGTACTACGGTTTTGTCAAGTATGGCATAAGCAGAGACTTCAGTACTTAAATGGAATGAAGCATCTATGCTCAAGACGTTGCGTCCCCATCATTGGCTTTGCAACATGAAAAAATTGAAATTTATGAGTAAATTAAGGGATGGCTGTATCAATGCAAGGGATGCTGAAGGTTTAGCTACGGAATAGAAGTTCTTTGTAAAAGTTAAAACACACAAATTCTTAGTTCCTATCTGCCCTTTTTTAATGTGATGCTTTTTGATATATATATATTATGAATTTAATCCTTTTGTGCATTTAATCTTTTAGGTTTATTTTTGTTTTTAGTTTTATATCGCCTTATTTTATTATTTATATTAATGTGGCTTCAATCTACTTATTATAGTTATTTGTATAGTGATTGGTTAATTTATTTTACGTTTTAATTTTGAATATTTAATGTTCGAAAGTTCCGTTTTAACGCAATTTTCAAAGTTGTTCGATAGCCTGTCTCCTGATGATGGCCTATTCCATTAGGCTGAAAACGTATGTGTTTTGATAAATATTTCTCAGCGTTATAAGGTGCTAAATGTTTTATTAAATGTTCCACAAGTGAATTTCAGATGAGTTTGTCTGTAGTTGTACTGAAAAATATTTAATTCTTTTTTTTCTGTTCGATTGGTAGTGATTATATTTTATTGTGATGATTTTTTGATTATTTATCCTTTTTCTATTTTTACATTATTTCCATAGAATTTAATTCACAAATATTCATGAAAATACTGAATAGCCTTTTATTTTGTTTAGAAATCTAATTTTCACTTTAATGAAAAAATGACACATTGAATTATTTATTTGTATAATACATATTAAAATATCTTGTAATAGATATAAATATAATTTTACGAGTGTTTTGTATAATTTTCAAATATTTTTTTAGGAAAATGAAAATAAGAACATATCACGTGACAATGAAGAAGTTGGAGCGATAGGATTTTCAGTCTATAAAGAATATTTTTATGCTGGATCAGGTTTTCTCTTCAGGATATTCTTATTACTAATTTTAGTTGTAGCACAATCTTTTGCAACTTTCAGCGATTATTGGCTTGTCAAATGGTATGATATTTTTCTGACAAATATGAGTTTATTCATGTAAACGGGTTTTAAATATTAGTTTAATTAAATAACATTACATTATTTATGTCAAATGCATTTCACCATAATAAGAAGTTTCAGGCATCATCGAACGAGCTTTACTTGTGTAAACGGATAAATTTAATAGTTTCATCTCGAAATATTTCTATGTATAGTGTGTGGTTTATGTACCCACATTTTGGCAATCTTTGTGTTGTCTGTCTTACCTACAAGAATTGACTTCGATGAGAATTCTAGGTGTTTAAGTTTTAATGTTGTGACAACAGTTGTGAATCGAAAGACTGGCGTGAGTCGTTCTGTATAGGGAATCAAGAATAAGGAATGAGGGGAAATAAAAAAGACAAAGGACCCAAAAGTAACTGACTCGAATTTAGTAATTATAAATAAGCAACGCTAAGATTTACCTCACAAAAATTGTTGAATGATAAAGTACCAAAAAGTACCAATTATTTTAGCGTCTACCATACAGCAAAAATTAGGAAAACTGTAATATCTCGATGTTAACTGTTAAGACACAATGTTGAATCGAAACCCAAGCATTCTTTACGTTTTATTTTGTGTCCAGTAACACTTTGAAACAGCATGTTTATCTTCCTTTTGTCAAATCATACACTACCTAGGTTCTATGTTAGTTTCCTTGACAAAACCATCTCTTTCTATTCTTTATCTGTTGCTAAATGAGAAAATCGTCCATTAGTCCTACAGCATAAAATTGGCTCGAAATCCCAGGCAATCGTTACGATTCCATTGATTTGCTTTTCTTTTAATGCAGATGCTCCGAAAACAATCGTTTAATCTTTTGCTGTTATTTTTTGATAATACTATTCTAGAATAAATTGAGAGTTGTAGGAAAAATTTTATTACTCCTTCATGGCATTTTTGAAATGGAAGCAAACTGTTTTCCTGCCTCATTTTTTTTCTTTTTACTGTTTCATTTAATTCTTCGTTTGAAGAAAGTCTTTCACTTAACCTCTCAATAGTGGAATAGTCAGGTATGGTGCTATCCCAAAGTAGTGGAGAATAAACGTGAAAAATTTTTAAAGTATTTCTCCACGCATTTTTTCTCATTACCGTTTCAGAAAAATATTTTGTAAACAGTTATGTCTAGTAAAGAAAAGTCTTTTTTTTGTTACATAATTAATTTATTATATGTTTTTTTACGATAGTTTTTGGATAGTTTTTGGCGATACCCCAAAAAATTTAACAGATATATCTGTCCCTCACCATTGCAAAATGATTGCCCTGGACGGATATATCCGTCCCTCACTATTGAGTAGTTAATATAAGCAAAAAGTTTGTTTTTCCAACAGCTCATGAATAGTTTACATCCTGTTTTAAAACCCGTGTAGGTTTGTGTACCCACAATTTTCATCCAACACTGTTTTGTAAGTGAGACAGATAACTAAAACATTGGCAAAAACATTGGGTACATGAGCTGACAAGACCATCATAATTCACCATTCAAAAGAAAAGTCTGAACAAAATTTATAGTGCAACAGAGGCTGAGTGGATAAAACCTGTGAAACACTAGTAGATGGTTATCAGTTTGTGCTTAAACAACAGCCTAGTCACATGGAGTTTTTTGTGTTTTCTTAATTAACACTGCTAACACCTGAATTGAGGCTAGTTCTTTATAGAAAGTCCTAAGAGGCATTTCTGTCAGCAGATTTAAAGTGTAACTTTGTCTGATACAAATATACCAATCCTAATTGAAAAAAGATTTAAAGAGAAAAAACATAGTCTATCTTATTTTAAATAAATTCGAATTAATTCGTTCAATGTAGTAATTAGAAAACGTTAAAATTTTTGTAATTTTAAACTGAAAGTCAGGAAAAAATTCAAACTATATTTATAATATTTTCTAAACAAATGATGCTTTTATTACCAAAATATTTCAAATATTACTTTTAAAGTACATCAGTAATAATAGCATATTGGCTATATTTCTTCACTGAGATTTGGAGTGTGCTGTAAGAATATTACAGAAATACATTGAAATACATGATCTTGTTTCTGGCTTAAGCTTTATAGTATTAGAGTTTAATGTGTGCTTTCTAAGCAAAATCACAGAATGTCAGCATTGCTGATATTGACAAATGTTTCCAGTGAAGTTGATCTACGAAAGCATCAGTTGTAATGATAGCAATAATGTTCAGACTTTTCATCCAAGAATAAATTATAAGAATGTAGCTTAAATTTGCACTGAAATCATTCTATGCATTTTGCAATATTTACTACCAATTGACCATTTTATATGTCTTAACAATACTGTTCAGTAAAGTTCTTATTGAACGGATTTAAGTACTTATATTGTATTCGTGCATGCTGTAGAAATGTTAGGTTAATCAAAAACTTAATTGTTATATTGTGTTTAATTTTCAGGTTGAATAGCAAACAGCTCTATACAGAAAATGTAAATAATATTGCAAATATGACGTTTAAGTCGACAATATTTAATAAGAGTGAAGATCAAGGTTTATATTATAGTGAAGAATATAATGTATATGTTTACTTCGGACTAATATGTGCAGTGTTTTTTACAATGACGCTTTCTGTATTATTGTTGTATAATTTTTTCGTCGCTGCATCTGTAGAGCTGCACAAGAATATGTTCCATTGTATTATTCGAACTCCGATTTCATTTTTGGATAACAATCCTGTTGGTATGTAAAATTAAGGATTTCATTCTTTAATAAGTTTAAGAATGCTCAATTCAAATTCGTTTATGAGACGATTTTCAAAAAACATTAAAAAGATTTAATAAAATTTCGTTAATAAAAATTCGGTGGTTCTTTACTTGTGTATGACATTTCATTTCAAAAATGAAATGTCATACACAAGTAAAGAACCACCCCTTTGGTCAGATGGATGAAGAGTAAGACGTCTGTGTGTCACCGATTCCTTTTAATTGGATGTTTCTGTTTTTTTAAATGGCGTTTTTTACCTTTGGCGGCATGAAGCCTAAAAAGGAAGGCCTGTCGCCATGGATGTGTATGTGTAAAGTCTGGAATACGAAATAAATGGTGGTCGCTTTTGGACAGACTTGTTTTCGATGATTAATACACAAGTAATGTCGGAAATTGAAGCAGGGAAGTTGAACAAAGGCACTTTTCTAAAGATTTCTGCTAAAATTTTGTGAAATACTATTTAGAAGATATGTCAAACATTCTACTCCATTTCGTTTTCCTAAGCATATTTACATAACAACAGCTCAAATATATTAAATTGCTCTACTTATATACCAAGAGCATGTCAATTTGAGAACTGTCATTCATACAGGTACACTGTTAGGTATATGCGGTATCCTATAAATAATGATAATAATAGAATACATATATTTACATAAGTTTTTAATTTAAATGATATTTCATATTTTTATATATTCTAGGAAAAATTTTAAATCGGTTTTCCAAAGACGTAAATAACTCGGATGACCTCTTACCTATCAATTTTTATATTTCGTTAAAAGTAAGTTTACATAATTTTGTATATTTAAATTTGTGAAAAATAAATTTAAAAGATAAAAATGTATGTAAAATATGTGGTTACTAATAACTATTTATGAATTACATCCAATATGTTTTGTAACAGCAACGTGAAATGCAATAAATAAAGCATGCAATATATGCTGCTTTTATCCTAATTACTGCCAATGTGAATGTACTAATTTGAGCCATAAAAAATATTTTGTATAATATTCTCATGTACAGTACAGCCTACTCTAAATTTTTAAGTATTGCGTATCTTCTGGAACTTAGTAATCGATATTAACTCTTTTATTTAAACAAATGCACATTGGAAATAATTGTGATTAGTGTGAAATTTTAATGAATGAGAATCTTCTGTTCGTGTTTCTGAAGCTTGACATAAGTTTAGTTATTATTTTTTAATTAAATTGTTGTATAGTAATTTGTTTTTTTTTTCAACGTGCGTTTTCATTAGCTTTTCAGTAATTTTGACTGACAGCTGAAATAGTCATGGTATAAAACTAAATCTTTTTCGAAACCTTAGATCAATTACAGAGAAGTCGATAATTCGCAGAACTTTTCAGAATAGGATCACTAAGAAAAGGCCTTTTATTGTAAATAGGGTGAACAGAGTCAAAACGTACTTTATTGGTTTTAGAAAAGATAAACGATTACTTATGACAGTGAAAAAATCTATATACAGTAAATCTTATGCTAACTTAGTTTGCACAACGCATAAAACTTTTTTATAAATCAGTAATTGAAAATTTTTTGGCAATAAAACTCATGTTAAATAAAATAAATGTGTGTTTTCAATATGTGGAAGACTGCAACATTGGTTATTAATTTATTGTAGCAGATAGGATGATAAAGATTTATATTGCTATATACAGAACTGTCAAAATTTATTTAATTTTATGTATCTAAGCTGTATAATCTGAGATCAGTAATTTTCTGTATAGGGCTAATTGCAATAATTTACTATCTTCCATATAATTGCAGAAAAAAGTATGGCTAACTAAGACATCCAGCTCGGACAATCTTCATCTTTTGTTAGTTGAGTTTGAATGTAATTTATTGTATATACACTCAAAAATATTATTTTAATATTAGAACAGCAAGACATTCTGTATGCTTACAACCGCACAATTCCAAAATGTGCTTTTCAAGATTTGAAACAGATTTTATATTGTAATTGTAGAAAAAGTAGCTTCTTAGGACATTATATAATTTTCCTAAAATTATTTTAGAAAAAGTATTTCACGAATATTGAAAGGAGTTTTTCCTGAAATTGAAGGAATTATATGTAGTTCGATAATAAAGAAGCGCACTGCAAACTACCCAGCGTATAAATTCTAATTTTCTGCCTAACAAGAAAATACCCGTGAATACAGAGGGTGCAGCCGAAGTTCAAACATTAAACTTGTACGGCAAGCAGAAGTACACGTTGACGTTTGAACTCCCAAGTAAAACGCGTTGCGCCACACATTGACGTCGAGCACTGACTCATGGGATATTGTTGAAAAATGGCGAACATTTAACAACGACGAATGTTACTAGCGAAAGTATATACACAAATTAAACTACAGTATTTTAAAGTATTTATAGGATGTTTAATAATACTAAATAATTATTTTTAATTAGCGTCGTGTCTCCTACTGTACGATAGGACGATAGGACTACCTCATACTTTTGTTAGGAGGCTTATGTAAATCCGAAAACAGCTCGCGAAATTATTTTTAGAAAATGTACAAACCTATTACGCTGTTGATGGTAGAAGATGCTGCGAAAGAACAAACCTACTCCTACAAATTTATGATAAGCTATTACGAACAGAAATAAATGTAAATTCTCTAAGAACTATGCATCGCTTGCAAAAAATTGAATAATTAAATGATTTCTAGATTAAAATCGTCTGTTTCTTCACAATATTATTCATAAATGCTTAAATAATCATTATTTTAATAAAATACGTCATAATTTTATCTCTAAACACGAAAAATGAGAAATTTAAGCCAAAGTTCTACTCACCATGCTAGATGTAGCAAACGCCATAACGAACCTTGTACAATTGCTAGATGAAGGCGCTCGACATCCAACGTTCACGTTTTGAGCTGCAAACGTCGGCCGCAACCTCTCTAATATAAAAAAGCAGTTTTTTACAATAAAAACATAGACAATGATAGAAATATTATTTAATTTGTAAATTATAAACTATAATTATTTATTACAAAATACTTCATATACCTCTTTTTGTAATAATTAGCATACTCAAAATCTTATTATATTATACGCCTTTGTAGAGAGATTAATGTTGGTTTGTTCATGAGACGTATATTATGCAAAGTCAAATGCTATTATTTATCACAATCGATCTTATCACTACTTAGTTTAGCACCGATTTCGTAGAATTAGACGAGTAAACCTCATACTTTCCTACGATTCATATTTCCAAATATTTGCTAATTTTTTTGCAATTTTATCGCCAGTAAGCACAAAATAAACAATTCTATCGTTCTTTGAGTAGATATTACATGAATAATTCTAACGATACTGAAGCGAACGCTTGTTCTAATAAAAGACACAAATAGGCAAACAAAACTAGACATATTCATACGAAAGTCTTAACATTTACAAGTCGTAAATGTGAACACGTGAAGAAAAGTGAAATAATAAAAAAAGTAATATGAAGTAATGGAATAGATCAGCGTTCAAAATACTTTTTTCGGTTGTAAATGTGAGAATACATGCAAGGTTATGTTAGCCCTGTAATTGTCGAGTCGTGAGATTCGCTCAGTGTCACTGAATGGCGTTTAGGAGAGTCTTGGTTGCGAGTGGGGAGGAACGTTATGGCTAAGTTCGATCAGGGTCCGTATAAATTGATTGAGTGAACAAAAGCATTTTCAGAAACCTTAGAATTTATAGATATACTAATGTAATAGATTTACTAAGTATAAAGCTACAAAACGAAATAAACTATGAACTAAGTAAAACTATAAAGTAAGGAATAGGAACGACCTCTAAAAGATGAATAAGAGAGTTTACAATAATGTATAAAAAATTACCTCTAGATGATGCAATCCAAATGATTTAAAATATGGAGAAGTCTATCTGATATGGAGAGAGAGGAAGGCTTCCTCTGTCTCCGTATCAGATAGACTTCTCCATATTTTAAATATAGAGTAGCGAGACGGGACTTCAATGCCTGAATGCTTCTTTTATGCGAGAATCTTCTGTCCCCTTCTATGTCTCTTCTAGGGCGGTCTCATATCGCAATGTCAGTTTCTCATAACTGCCTGTCAAGTATGGCAAGTTTCCTTCGTTGTGGACTACTCTGAATGATAGGAATTTGCCTCTTTTATCTCAGATTTCCTCCAATTAGGTTTCTGGTTTTATAACACCTGAAGACATATTTTATCATCAGACAGGTATTTTATCCTCACTCAGATGACAGATGTTTTTCAGAGATGTGTGATAAGATTATTGGAAAGGTGTGATAAGATTTCGTTTAGAAGAAAGCTTTAATTCCGTTTTTCAAAAATGGTGAAAACTGTGTCAGTTTTAACGTTAAAATTTTACTTTATTTCATTAATTTTATAAACTTATTTTTTCTTATTGAATAAAATATATCTTACTTGTAAATACTCACATAAGTAAAGATGTTTATATCTCAGGCGACCTCATTTTACGAATTCGGTAGTGATGTAATTAGTTCAAGTGCAAAAATGTAAAATACGCTCAGTTTAATCTGACAAACTTTATCAATTTGGAAAATAAATAAAACTCAATGACAGTCATGATGATTGCTATCCTGGTTTTGCAGTTATTAATTAAATAGCATATAATGTGAGGGATGCGATGACGAAGGCGCCCTTTAACAGCAAGAAGGAGAGTTAGTAGTCAGTCATATGAGGAAAGAGTAGTTGTTCCACTGTCCCGCTGTAGTTGTACTGTTGGTAGATGGTGATCCTGAACGGACAATAAATATATTGTTCACAGTCTCTCCCTTTGTCTGTGTTATTGAGCATAGTCACAACATATGATAAATTCATTAATATTGTATTATAAATAATATTTGATGAGAAACTTCAAAATTACCTGTGATATTTGAATAATGATGGACTTGTCGCGTGTTGCAATAAATTCCCATTAAAATACTAAAATAAATAGATATTATTTCCTTTGATATAATATTGATTTACATATAAATAGTAATAATTCAAATAATTTGTAGCATACTAAAATAATAAATACGTTTTCATTTATTAGCATTTTAAATTGTTATGTTTTAGACATTTTCTCTGATCGCTGGAATATGTGTTCTTCAAGCAATCCTGTGTCCTTACGTTCTCATATTGATGTTGTTGCTTTCAATAATATTTTATGCTATATCGACGATTCACAGCCGTGTGCTGAAAGGTATAAAACTTATGGAAGGAAAATGTAAGTGTATACAACTCTCAATTGTTTAATAGTTTATTGTATTTAACTGAATGTCATGAAACTCTTTCACAACTCATCACTTTACATTCTGTAATTGTACTATACAGTTCGAATGTACTTAATTTTAACAGCAGTTTCAATATGCTTTTGATTGTAAATGTACTTCGTTATTGACAGAACTCATAATTAAAAATTAATTTATAATAAAAAATTGCAATGGGACACGTGCATACTAAAAGCAACACATAACTAATTGCACATTTATTCTGCAAAAAATTTAAAAGCGTGCTTAGCACTTTGTTGCGTTTTCCTTTTGATAAAACTTAACAATCAACGTTTTACTTTTTTTGGCAGAATGTTTACAATGTTCTGTTTGTGTTATATTATTTTAGTTGTGATCAGTTGCTTCTGAGATTTATGTATATAATGTAAGCACGTATACATTATATATAATATACGATTTTATATATTTAAACTTCTTACAAATTTATATTAATTCACTTGTAAATTATTTAAAAATTAAAAAAATGTAAATTTAAAACTTTTTGCATAAGGGTGTTATGTAATTTAAGTAGAGAATTGCTAATCATTTGCTTTTTTAAATACACTATGCAAACAGTTGTTATATTTAATAAGGTTTCACTCAAATAATTAAATTTTATATAGAATTTCTTTTAACAGCAAGAAGTCCAGTATTTTCTCATCTCAGTGTATCTCTTTATGGACTGACAACAATTAGAGCATTTGAAGCTGAACATAAATTTAAATCCACTTTTAGTAAGTATCAGGATAAGCACACTGCAACGTGGATTGTTTACCTCGCATTAAATCGATGCCTTTCTGTATATGGTTACATCATCTGTTACATAAATGTACTTATTACTGTTATTATTTTCATTTTATCGATTTATCCAGGTGGGTATATTTAGTTGTTTATAGTGTATAATATCAGTAATTTTGAGTTTATAATTGCAACTTTAGATGATGCAGGAAGCCAAATTGGACTCGTTATGAGTTATGGAGTATTATTTGTTTTGTACTTTCCCCTCCTTATTAGATATTCATCTGAAGTAAATTTTCAGGTAATACATACACATTTAATTCGATAGTGTATTCAATGTTAACCTTCCTGTTATGTGCATGTATAATTTAGAAATCTGGTATATTATTTTTTTGTTTTCTCTGGAAAATTACATGGGGTAGTCCTTTCTCTAGTGTATTATCCTTGCCATATGCTTGGAACTCATATACTGAATGCTTCCAGGTTTAACCTAATTATGCACCAAGGCATTGACGTCCTTTGCTATAGAGGAGGATAGCTGCGCACGTTTTCTCAGTTATATGCAGCTGCAATTGTACCTATTATTTTGATCATACAGGAACTGTAGGTCATAATGAATAATGTTTATTTTTTATTGTAGCGAAAACTAAGCTACTTAGTTGCTTCTCAACATATTTGTACTAATTACGTTTGTGTTCAGCATTCGGAATCAGTGTAAATTGTTGTGACCAAAACGTTATTGGCAAAAATATATGAAATATGTTTTCTAATCAACTAGTTACTTCAGATTTACTTCAGTGAAGTTTCCTTTCTAGACTCCGTCGTCTGAGAGTTGGTTTGGTGAATTAAGCACGACTCGAAATTGTTCTAATATACGCTCGATGGATACCCACCTTACCACTCAATATAGTCAGTATATACATTTTATTTACAAATTTATACAAACTATTTAAGTTGGAACCATAGGGAATACAAAGCGTGATGCCTCTTGTTCCAGTTTGGATTTTTGGAACGATTGAGTTGTCGTCTTGGTCAGTCGTTAAATTGGTTCTACCTGCACGGATCGTTTAGTCTCAGCACTTACCTGTCGCTGGGATATCCTGCAGAGGAGTATACTCAATTACACTTTCTCTCTAACCTCAGCAGGACTTTCCAAGTGTCTGAGGCTCTTGTGCTACCAGTCATGAGCTATTTTTCACTTCAATCTTGCTCGCTCTCCAATTTTAAAACTGTTTAAACGGGAATTTCCTACAAATGACAGCTTTTTCTTGCAAACAGCTTTCACCCAGTTCCACTTGACTCGGATATGGATGGACCTTACTTTCGCATTCGCCAATCCCTGATGTAGGTAGTCACCCACTTGTTTACTGCCAGGTGTTTACCACCTGGCAAGCAGTTTATGACCAGACCATTCATATCTAATTAGCGAGGTCAGCGCTTTCTTCTTTCTCTTTCTGTTTACAAGCCAATACTTTACAACTTCGATTCCGTTTAGCTTCATGTTTGCAAAAATTTAATGACCGCCTGTTTACAGTGTTTTATTCTCAGTGTAACAGTAATTTTTTACTTATATTGTAATTTATCACTCAAAATGAATACTTTTTTTTAAAAATTACTACAAATTTTCAAGTTACGTTATTAAATTGTTTATGTGCAAATATTATATTTATTTTACATATAAAGGTAGTTTTGTTACTTACGAAAAAATAAGTCTTTTAGGAGTTTGCTTAAAGTTAGGTTTAATAAACAGTCATAGTCAGACAATATAATATTTCATGAAAAATTTTAATAGAAAAAATATTTTTATTAAAATATAGTCTACATTTTGCATAACACATTAAAATTTATGGGAATAAAGCTTGATATTGGAATTTGGTTTTATTTTTAAATTTAAAATATAATTTATTTTAAAATGCTATTAGACATTTACTAAGTAAAACCTTTCTTAAAAATGGAATATTTCCATATAAACAATATTGAATTTTCTTTAAATAATTGTGTGAGGGACGAACAAACCCACAATATAATGTTATTTTAAATTTGAATTATTAGAAACTTTAATCGATTAAATTCGAACGTTTTATCGAGTCAGGCTAAAAGCCATAAAATTTATTTCCCACGGAGTTTGTTCCTTGTTGAGTCGAATCAAGTTAGTCAGGGATGTGTCACCAGGAACTTTTGATGGAGAATCCATATTGGACGTGCGACCGTTAAAGGCCATCACCTGACCTCATGGAAAAAACCCAAGAGGAAAAAAAAAGAGAAAAGAAAACGATCCCGAGGTCAGTCGTCATCCGAAGTCCCTCTACAGAAGTCGTCATTCAAGCCCGCCCAACCAAGTCGTCCTCCAAACCATTAAAACCGTGCCCCAGGATTAAAACCGTAACACCGAATTAAAACCGCGACCAGGATTAAACCCGAGAAAAACATTCGTGCTGGATTAAGCCTCTACACTCCTCCGTGCCTCCACCCCAGTGAACGGACAAGATTCTGATTCAAGATTCAACGACAAGATTCAAAGAACTGTCCATCAAAGAACTGTCCATTCAAGATTCAAAGAACTGTCCATCGACAAGGTATTTATCAACCCGCGATTCGGTTGTAAACTCTCTCTCTCCGCGGCCTAGTATAGTTAAGAACAATAATATGCCGATAGTATTTAGTATCTCTGTATAGTATTTAGTTCGACTTAATTAAAATCGTTATTTATTTGTTACTATGGAGTCCGAGTAAGTTACTTCCGCGTCTCTCTCCTCACCTCTACTCCGAATCCAAGCGCTCACACGCTACCGCTCGCGAATCTTTAGACGTAACGTCGCGATTTCCGAGTCCCCCAGAGACTCGGTGGTGTCAGATTCAGTCCTCCTGACAGGGCGCCAAAGAGGTGCCGACCCTACGGTCACAGTGGTGTCAGAGCGGGATAGAATTTAGAAACGACCCTAGATAACTCGAAAAAAAAAAAGAGAAAAATGGAGACAAGAGGTGAAGGTCGGGCGCGAGGAGAGACAGCAGGAGGTGCACGAGCAGAGCCCGCAGGAGGAGCCGCGTTAGGCGGATTAGGAGGCATGATTCCGTTGATACCTTCCTTTGCGGGGGACACAGAGGGCCTTAAGGTCACCGATTTTTTTGAGTCTTTAGACGAAATCGCAAAATTAACGAGTTGGAGTAAAGCACAATGTTTAGGAATCGCAAAGTTAAAATTAACGGGGATAGCCCGGGAATTTGCATGGAAGGATGCAAAGATGCAGGAGGTGGTGACGTATGAGGAGTTCAAGAAACTCATGATTAAGCGATTTGATAGAGAGCCAATTTCTTTACGTTTACAAAAGTTCCATGCCTGTATCCAAGGGCGAGACGAAGATGTACAAACCTATGCCGTGCGATTACAAACCCTGGTAAGGGATACGATGGTAGAACAAACTAGCGGGGATGCGCAGGAAAGGGAAGTTATCAAAAGATGTCAACAAAAAGAGAGGGACGAAAGATTGCTGGTGCAATTCCTCAGCGGCCTAAATGAGCGCATAAAAAGACAAGTGATGTCGCGAGATCCGGAGACATTCGATAAGGCGGTGCAGGCAGCCATCAGCGAGGAAACTATTGAACAATTAACGGCGAAATCACGAGCGATAGTCAGGAACATAAACAATCCTATCGAACCAAAAAAGGATCCTAGCGGAACCCCTCATAAGCAATTAGAGGAAACTTTAGCAGAAATTCAGGAGCAATTGAGACGATTAGGAACTCAGGAAAGAAGTCAGGGAAACCCTTCACGCAGAAATCCCATATCTTGGCGCCCCAGAGCTTATGGCGACCGATCTCAATATCAATCCCGAGGACGACGGGACGACGACTCGAGAGGGACCCGATATCCTAACTGGGATCGAAATAGAAGTGAAAATAGAGATGCTGCATATGCCCCCGAGATGGGACCCGGAATGTAGCAAGGGGACAGAGAAGCGAAAGAGTTCGAACAAATTCCCAGACACCTAGGAATCAGACCTACGGCAGAATTAATAAAGTAAATTGGTGGGAACGCAGAATTGTTTTATAATTGCTTTTAAAATTTCAGTGAAACTCGTAATTTGAAACATATGTATTAAAATTTAGACATTTAAAGTTATAAGTAAAAACTTAATATTATATTTATATTTTACTAAATTACATCTTGTCCTACATAATAAAGTAAGTGAGTACATTTTCGCTTAATGATAATCAAAAAACAATGAAAAATACTTCTACTTTTGAAAAGGATATAAATTTTACAATTAAAGTATACATATTTATAGAAAATAAAATAAATTTAATTGTATATTAGTACCTCAAAAATTAGAGTGAGTTAATAAGAATGAAAAGTAATAACAAAAAAAAAAAGATAAAACTAAATATGATTCATGTAAGTGAGTATCTTCATACAAAATACTTCTATTATTAGTTTTATGAAATTCTACACATTTATTATAACTCTGGATAATACATATTGTTACTTGATTTAGTTTTATGCATTTTCCTATTACAAAAGAAATCAATTTTCCAGATGAATTCTGTAAAACGTATACTGAATTACAGCAAATTAAAATCAGAAGCATCTTACGAAAGTTCGTGTGATAAAAAACCACCGGCGGATTGGCCACAAAAAGGAGAAATTCATTTTGATAATGTTTCTTTACAATATTCCAAGGATAAAAATATTGTTTTGAAGAATTTAACATTTTGTATTCATCCGGGAGAAAAGGTAAATAATTCGAATTCTAACAAGTGTTGCTAAAAATTACTGTCTGAACCTGTTTTTAACTTTTATGAATCACAGATAGGAATTGTTGGGAGAACAGGAGCGGGAAAAAGTTCTATAATTGCTTCGTTATTTCGCATGATAGAGCCATCAGGAACAATAACCATCGACGGAATTGACACAAAAGATATTGGTCTTCGAGATCTACGTAGTAAAATATCTATCATTCCTCAAGTATATAATAATTAATTTGATGAAAAAACTTTTCATTTATCAATAGTTTTATATATTTATTTTAAAAATTTGCTTTATTTGATTTATTATGTAAAAATGTAATTGTGAAGTAAGATAAAAAAAATTTAATAATATATTTTTCAGCTGACATGTAAATTGTTTAATTTTTTACGTTGTTGTATTAACAATTCGACACAACAACGCCATAACATGAAAATCGCATTCTCAAATGAATATAAACACATTTGCTTATTAGAATAGTTTTTAAATTAGTCGATACAATAAGAAAGAGCAAAGTATATAATAAATAGTGTAATTGTAAAGATATAATTTTCAACATTGATATTTTGAGCACTAATTTGGTGTTAGATTTGAAATTCATTTATTCAAATTCACTATTTTGCCTTGCATGTGTGATGCTAACATATATTTTAAAACATTAAATTTACCTTAGGTAAATCTAACCCAAAGCAATATGCATAGCATTTTTTTCTTATTTAAAATCCTTAGTATGGCTTTGAATACATATACAGTCGACCCTCCTATAACACGGTAAATACGTTCCGCTTTTTATGAATTTCATGTTCTATGAGTTCTTAAATACATGAGCCAATCACAGCCCAGCACATATGAAGTTTACGGACTGCGGCTGTTTGAAAGGTTTTTTTCCATAAAATTAGTCGATCCTAGATTAATTTGACTCAACATTTCCAAAACACGTATAATTTTTTGGGAATAATCCATATAAACTATGCTATAAACTAAAAATTGTAGGGTTACTTACCGAGTGTGCACCTTTCGACAACGCTATTGCTTAAGCTTGATTTCGTCGCGGAGCGGCGCATTGAACGGCGGGCGCGTGTTTCCTGATAAAGTATTTTTCTGCGAAAAATTTGCTGAACTTTGGANGATACTTATATAAGATAAAAGTGAGAATATTCCTGCACACACTGAAGTGCGCAGAAATACTGTGATTGAAAAGCTGACACTCAGTCTACTGTTTTACATTGAAGTTACTGCAGTCTACAATTCATCCTCTGACTTGCAGATAACCTCGATTAATTATTCTTAATTCGATTATCATATTTATATTAACAGTTGAAATTAATAAATATAATAAGAATGTTTTCAAGACGTAAAGTTTTAAGTTTGAAGAAGGAGATATGTGTGCCCTGTTTACTATCTTCGTTTACGTCAGTCTCCATGGTGTACAGACTGGACTTTTTTATGTCTTGCTCCTGTGACAGGAAATCCAACGCTTACTTGCAGAAATTTATAAACTTTTATATTTCCGGTATTGAAATATATTGTTGGATGCATTCGTTTTTTCTTTTTTGTATGACAATTCCTTATATATCGGACAGAACGCCTTGTTATTCCTGGTATGCGGTCGTCAAGTATGACATATATTCCACAGTTACCCTTGTCGTTATTATCTTGACTGCGGCTGTAATATTCAGTATTGTCAAAAGAGTCAAATTGAGCCCGAAGATACAAATAAGAAAGTCGTATCGTTTTGCTACAGATCAATTATTTTCTGCTATCGGCAATATACTGTTTTATACAGTAATTATTTCTGTGGGTTTTACGGTATTGACTGTTATTTCAGAAGTTTGTTTATTGTATGCATATTTGGAAAAGGGAAAGTCTTATACGTATGAGCTACTTTTCTGCTGCATCGAAGATGGTACGGCTGCTACTTTTATTGTTGGTGGAGTAATATACTGTTCTCTGTTCATTGTCTTGCTTATGCATACTTTAATGAAAGCATTTGAAAAAGTCTCACAAGATTTGTATCTATTAAAAAAGAGCAGTCCAAACTTGAAGTCTGAATTGGAAGAAATTATAATACAACACGACAAACTTTGGAATTTTACAAATCAATTCAATGAACCATTCATTTACGTATTAATAACTTTATACGGCACTTTGTTAATAGAAACAAGTCTATTTTATTTTGTTTTCAGTTATACATTAAGTGATTTTGGGTATAGAATTATATGTTTTACATTCTGTTCCGGTTTCACGATCTATTCTACCGTTTTTGGATTTTTGCTTTTTGTTTTTACATTTACTGTAATATATTTTTGCCAAAAGTACGAAAATATGTAATATTTTAAGGTTTGCTGTAATTTGTAACATTTCTTATTTCAGATGCAAACATCTTTTCAAGATATAAGAAGGTTCGCTGACTGTGATTTAGGAATGAAAGAAAAGTTGAAGGTTCTTTGCTTTTAATGTGTTACTTTACTTCTAAAACAATTATTATATTTATGTATAAATCTATAATATAATCGAGACGGGTTGATAATAATGATAATAATAATAAGTGCAGAGCCCAAACGGTTAGGAGTTGAAAGTTGAAATTTGGCACATAGATAGGGTACGTCACGAAAACGCACACTAAGAAGGGATTTTTCGAAATTCCCCCGGTTGAGGGAGAAAGACAGGATTAAGGCATAACACTTCCATCAACAATGGAAGTGATAAGTAACAATAAAAGTTTTAAGTAACAATGGAAGGGTCAACAATAGAAATGTTACGTAACAATGGAATTGTTACGTAAGAGAAAGCGACGTGCAATACGCAGATGCAGTTTTTTTCATTTTTGCGAGAAATCGAACATATTTTTAGACCCATCTAAAATTCTCTAATTAGTCTGGAAACAAGAGGACCCAATTCTTGAATTCTGTGAAAACGGGTAAGGTTGACTGTAACGTAATAATCTTTATCTTAGTTATCGTTACTTTTGCCCGAGCAACGCCGGGCCCACCTGCTAGTTATGATATAATAATAGACGTAAATTCTTTTGTAGATTCTGAATTTTTTGAAGAGATTTGGTAAAGAATCGCTATGTTTGACATTCAGAAATTACTTCAAAATTACTAAAAAGTTCCCAGAAAAGTAAGTTATGAAGATGGTTTTGTAATATACAGTAGACCCCCTATAACGCGGGTTCCTATAAACGGAGTTTTCTATAACGTGGCAAAAAAATTGCGACAGTATTCGTATAAAGACGCTAAAAGGGACTCGTAAAACGTCGTCGCCAACTCGTGTCACGACAGGATTGGTGGAATCTAGACCAATAGTGGACGAGCAGCTGAACTACTTTCCGCCATCCAGCGCCACGCTACCGAAAGTTTAAGCGGGTAAGTTGAGTTTACTATCGTCTGTACAGTATGTAAATTAGGTATCGTTAGTCTAATACAGTACTGTAATTTTATACATTTCTTGTGAAAAAAACATTTCTTATTCAACGGCCATAAAAATTCTTAATCTCGAGAAGGGAGTTAGAATGGTCCAGCAACTACACAGGCTATAGGCCCCGATTAATTATATATGAACTTCTGATGCAAATTGAAATTCACGTTGTTTTAATTCAAAAGTTTCTTCCGAAAAGTGTTAGATAGATGATCGGCCGACTCTATTGCTCGCAGGAAAAGTACGATGTACTGTACTTTTCCTGTGAGCAATAGGTAATTTCAGGCGGATAGCACATATTTGAAATTAAATAAATTTAAAAAATAAGATCAAAAATTGCAGCCCGGCATCGTGACAATGTCACAATAAATAATTATTCGTTAGAATATTAATCTTATATTTAAAAGAGAAGAATAAATCGACACAAAACGGCGTTANTTTTTAATTACCTTATTAAATTAAAAATGCCTTTTTCAATTGTATCGGGGTCGCGGGACACTTGGTTTTTATAAAAAGAAGTCGCCACCCGAAAAAGGTTGGGAACCGTTGACTTATAGTATATTGCAAAAGTACAAAACGATTAATTCAATACTGTTTTTGTTTCTATTTTATACTATTTTATATATTATTCTTATATTAGTCAACAATAATATAATACAAGAGTCATTTGTTATTCATGGTTTTTAAGAAACTATCATTCTTCTTAAGAAAGAATTCTTCTTGTCCCATTGTAGCAAAATTAACAAACATTTATTTCGTTACTAGTTAAATAGCAAATTGAATTTAAAACTATACGTAAATTGACTAATTTGTTGGCAATAAGTTTGTATCCCTGGAAATTTAAATACACCGGAAATATGTTAATAAAATAAGTGAAAGTGTTAAATACAATATCGATAATTTACTAAGTGTAAATACATCGAACAACTTGTAAAACAATTGATAAAATAAAAAAAAGCTTTAAAATATAATACTATAGCAATTGTAATGCATACAATTTCATACAAAAAATGTAAAACGAATAAAATAGCATGTGTATTTTTCAGGATCCAATGTTATTTAACGGTCCACTTCGAAGAAATATCGATCCTTTCAATGAATATTCAGAAGAAAAACTTTGGCAAGCTATAGAAGAGGTCAGAAAGAAACAATTCTTTTCAACTACATTTCTACAATTATATCTGTTGAATTCTCTATAATGGCTAAATTTAATTATCATCTATTTATTAAAAAAAATCTCAATTAAAGGTGCAATTAAAAGAAGTTATCAGTACGTTGCCTGGAGGATTGGATACACATTTATCAGAAGGAGGACGAAATTTCAGCGTAGGGGAAAGACAGTTAATTTGTCTTGCGAGAACGATTCTTCGCCAGAATAAAATACTTGTCATGGACGAAGCAACAGCCAATATAGATAAAAGGTGAGAATACCACAAATTTAAAAGATTATTTAGTTTTAATATAAATTAGTTTAGAGTATGGTTTTTTGTAGAGAATTGTTATATATTTTTCGAAATCTAACTCGAGATCCAGATAACAATTAACAACAGTTTAATAAATACATAGAGGTTAAACACAAGGGAGATTAAACGATGTCTACCACGATAACCATTTAAATACATTGCGAGAGCTAAATACCTGATTTGCAAGACAAAGGGTGAGAGTTTACAATAAATGCATAATACCTCGTGTAGACAAATACTTGTCTTGTAGTGTTGAGACAGCTTTGGTGTAGTGGCTGGGAATTCTTTAAAGCCTATTCTCAGAGGAGATACCGGAGACAAGTCAGTGAAAAACAGAAAGGTGACAGACATTGATTTTTTCTATTCTCTTCTGGGAGAGTGTTTATCTTGAACTTTCGGTCTTTGGCCCTCTTATCTCGTAAAGTCCTTCCAATTCGGCGGTGTAATTCTCTCACGAGACGTAAATCTAATGCTGCTTCCTACCTGCAGCTGTGTGCTCTACGTGTGAGGAATGATTGCTCAACAGGAAAATTATATAAACAACGGGAGGTGTTATTTCTTTTTGTCACTACCTTAACTATATCACGAGAATGTTACCTCAGCGATTTTTCTCTCCCACGTATTACTGTAACAAAAATATTGTTTGATGTCTCCAGGCTCTCACAATTTACTGTAGTGTGAAAAGGATTCCGCTTCATGACAAAGTCAATTTGACTGTAGACATTTGCATAGAAATCTGACCTGGTAATGAGGTTATCCATTTACAAAAAATAAACAGTCATTGAAACCCAAATCAGACTTAGACTCAGGTCAATTCTTTTGAGTCTATATGATAATACATTTGGTACTGTTCGACGGTAATGATTTGTGTTACAAGTGCTGTGCCAAAAACCTATCATGCAGAGAATAAACATAAATCGCGACTACTAATGACCAGAGTGGCTTACTTGATGGGAGAAATGCAGCATTTGTTATCTGGCATAAAGTTTCATCATGCCATTTGAAATGAATTTTTCTTAATCTCGGCGTGCAGTTCATCTTGATAAAAGTTCGGTGTTTCTAACTTACGTAAGTGTTGTGCGATTTCCTTGTTAACCTTGTTAGTCATTTTGCTTAACTTGTTTAAATTCTTTTTTGAAGTAGATAATGTTATATTAGTTTGTTTTGGAATTATATCGACCCACGGATTCTTTTTATAAATGTGCTTTTAAGGCTAGAAGGAGATTTATGAAAAATCAGTTATTGAAAGTTAATAAATGATGTTTCTCAGGAAGTTGGAATGTGTCTTGAAGGATTTAATTTTGTTATAATCCACATTTGTCTTTGTATTGCACCAATTGAAAATGATAAGTTATATATCCGGTATGACAAAGTATAATCGATTGATGTTTTTTGGTTATGCTAAATACAGTTAATTGCCCGAGATAAAAATAAACTATAGTTTCGAAAAGTTATCAAAGAACGGTTATAGTTCTAAATCTACTTTTTCCACCATCAATGTAGAGTCACCTTTTACCATTGCTAAACTAAAAAATGTTTGATCTATAGGTATGTTGATAGAAATGTTTATTTCGATTTCAGAAACAAAAGTTTCCACGTACGCAATGGATGAATTAATCGTATACAATATTTACATTAAATTTTAACTAGATGACTAGTAAAGCGAAAGCAGTTATATTAGCCTTTCATCTGATTGTTTCCTACAGCCATGTGATCTACTGAAGTGGAGTACAGCAGGAACGTCGTAGTTCCAGTTTACAGATCTAGCAACTTTGCTACAGGTGTGAACTGAAACTGTAATGTTTCATATGCTCTTGCCTGTAGACGAATGATTGAAAGCAATGCACACTGGTAGATAATGCAGGCTCTTAATTCACCAAAGAGCGGTCCACGTAATTTCTGTTTGATTTGTACGACATCGAAAATTGTTATTGGTGAAATTCTTTTAATAAACTTGTTTCGTATTGATTTCCGAGAACTTAATTCAATGTAACACATTTTCTACGCAGCAAAACATGTATATTACGGAATCTTTACAATCAAGTATACATAATGGAGAAGTTTTAATGGCAGTTGTATCACAAATTTTACATAGTAATATTTCGTACTAACGTTTTTTATACGTATATATTTTGTGTTATGATGATACAGATATGTAGATTCGTAACGTACTTTTAATCCATTATATGTCAAGAACTGATTCCTGCATACAGAAAATAATTCGAGAAAAATTCAAATCGTGTACCGTGTTGACAATAGCCCATAGATTACATACAATTATCGATTCGGACAGAATACTGGTAAGTTTCTTTTGTTTATAATATATAATAATTTGTTTTTATTTACGCATTTGAATCTTTTAGGTTTTAGTTAATGGAAAACTTGAAGAATTTGATATGCCTTATAAATTACTGAAGAATGTGAATGGTACTTTTTATAATTTGATAAAAAGCACGGGAGTTACTTCAATGGACTAACTATTTAAAATTGCTGAAAATAAATATAATGTTCAATAATGTATGAAAAGAACGAGATTATAAAACAATGGATTTTCCTCGATACCTTTTGTAGATTTCGTGTTGTTTTTATATTAACCACTATTCGGAATCATCTGTTTTAAGTGCAGTTTCCGCATGTTATCCAGGATATAACATTGTTAAAATCTTTAGTAAAAACTATTAAAACTTAAGCAGTATTTGTGATTCCTACTGTTAAATTTATATATGTTGAATATTAACGTAATCAGTAATATTTTGACAATGTTGTTGAAACTTTTAGAATAGTTTATTTTCAGAAAATAAGTAAATTTTAAAGAAATATAAACAAGAAAAAGTAGTTATTGAAATAGTTTATAACAATTTTTTCAAACATTTTTATCAGAAAAATAAATTCAATAGTAAAAATGAATTCCAGTATTAATTTGTATAATATGTATAAGCAAGAATATAAATAAAATTGTTCTGAATATTTTTTCATTTGTATTATGTATCTTTCGGTGTTTAAACATTCATCAAATTTATCGATCCAAGATTTTTTCATTATTGTTTTGTGAGGGCAGCACAAAATTATTCATTTGAAGTGAAGTTGAATACTAGTTTTTTTAAACAGACAAAAATTAATATTTTGTGAAGAATTACAAATAGTTTATAAGGAATTACAAGGTCTTGTATGAAAAAGCGATGATTTAAATTACTGTATTGTAATTTTTATATGAAAAATTTCTTTATACATAATATTAAATAAAAGTATTCTAGAAAACTTTTTAAAATCTTAGTGACATTGATAAAATATTATGAAAATTTAAACGTCATTTAAGGCGGCACGATTATAATGTTTGGTACCTGTTTTACATGTGACATGCTGTACTTTGAAATACGTTAAATAACCTTCATTCTGTCTTTATAAAGAATTGTATCATTTCAAAAAAAAACAAGATCTGTTGTAAATTATATTACTGTAAGATTTGTAGCACAAATATTTGTAGAAAAAAAAATCAAATTTTATCTTTTACTTAAAAAATCTAGCAATGCGTTGTATATTTATTCCTGAACAAACACAAGATAAATTAACGAAAATGAACATTTGGTTGTTTTACCATCTGTACAAAATATTGTAAAAAATAACTTATGTTATAAAATGGAGAAAGTTTATTTTGAGGGTAGAGAATAATTTTATTAGAAAATTGTAAAAGTTAATAACAGGTAATATCTACAATAACTCTATACCAAATATAGTAATTTATAGGTCTGCCATCTTTCTAAATTGCAGTTCTATTATTTTCCCTAGTTTCAGCCTGATAAAAAATTCAGACGTTTGGTACGATTATTAAATAAAAAACTATCTAATTATAAATAACAAATTACATTGACAAATTTGACACTCCCTTTATACTGGTGAGCAGTAATAACGATTTAATAGGACTGTTAACTTTCTCATAAAGTACGAAAAATTGATTTTTTCTTCTAAAATTATAAACGAAAAAATAGATTTCAGAAAATTCTAAATTGGCTTTAAAAGTGCTTGATCGGAGCACTAGAACGAACGTTATTTTATTATTACTATATTCTGCATGTATGCAATCAGAAACTATGTATAAAAGGAAATAACATAATAATGTAAGTTTAACCGTTAGAAATATTTTATTTAATGAGATTTCATTACATAGACTTATTTGTAAATAATTTTGTTTTGTAATATTCATAATTATTTTGTATTTCTGCATTCAAGAATTCGATGTCGGTTGATAAAATATTTCATATACGTTAACTCTACAAACGTAACATAGATAATCCGAATTCACACATTAATACATTCGGAAAATGAAATTTTGTTGTTTCACTTTGGTTTCTATGTTATTCGCTCTATTGTATATAAAAGATGGCAAGTTTAACAAACAATTCAAAATTACACACTGCATTATTTTTCATTTTGCGAGTCAGGAAATCTTGAAATTTATGGATGAGAGCCGTCAAACCTATAGAAATTTATATTATAAAATCATATCTTCTAGACACTGATAGCAATAAATTAAACAAATTTCTCTGTGTCAATTGTCAGTACAAGCTAGGTCTAGACATCGACACACGAACAGGTGTGCGTATAAATCATGAATGATGTCATAGTTTTCACCCTCTCAAAAATAGTATAAAGAGGGTTTGGACGCAGTCCACAGCGCGGCCATCCCCAAAAAGGCGAACATTCACAAGGCGGACATCGACTGCCACATCTACTGACCAATACCGCCATACTGCCGTGACGATCCAGGAACGTTTTTACCAACGACCCATATCACGGGAACTTAGAGGTATTTGTTTTTGGATATCTATTTGTATACTCTCTCTCTCTGCGAATTCTCCCTCTGAGAAATCTCTCTTCTAGAGATCTCTCTCTCGTCTCTTAACTTAGAGAATAGAGATTAGATGTTTCATATGAAAGACGAATCATTGTCGCGACATAGAATAGAATTTTGTAGATCTTCACCTTAGTCTTTGATATGTACTATTTTATAGTTGTTTATTAAATGTGTTATTCTTGTTCAACCTGTGTATTCATTTGGGAACCTGTCAACTTACTCACTGACCTCCCCACTCAATTTTATTTTGCCCTCCTATAAAGCCATCCTCTGACAGAGCCGCCGGTAAGTGGGGACAACTAACCCCCTCGGTTCTCACA